AGTAGGGTAGTGAGACGCTTGTGTGAATGTAATAAAAGAACCAAAGTGATCGCTCACTTGTCTCCTGGTGTGGAGCATCATTCCTCTCTCTCACACTCTGATCTCTTCTCACCATTAGCTCACTCGACTATGACAATATCAGACAAAAAGAAAGACAACAGCCAAAAAGTGTCTAGGCAATCCATTCCTCTCCTGAGTTAAAAAATCCCAATCGATGATAAAAATCCGTGCCTGAACAAAAACAAAACAAACAAACGCACTCCAGTTTGCTCGGCAAATTAGTTTTCTCGAAATTTCAACCACTCGACCAGACAACGTGGCGGGACGCTTCTTCCTCAGTCCTTTTGCCTTTCTCTTCCTCACTCGACTTCCATTTCTCTTCCACCATTTCCTTCGTAACAAAATATTCCCGTCCAATCACGGTGACTGGGCCCCGCCGTTTCGCTGGATACGAAACAGAAACCATTGGCATCACATCTGCAAAAAAAAAAAAATACAGGGTCAGTTCAAGAGGGCTTCCATTGGCTGGAAGCTCTTTGTGTCGAGTAGATCGTTTTGTTTTCTACTAACCTCCGTTTTTTCAATCAGCGTCAATGGCTACTTCTGCTAATTGGAAACTCGATGATGATATTTGCATGTAGGAAGGGTATGTGTTTCACCTAGTTCCTCCAATATTTTTTTTCCTTGACTCAGACAGCCCATGGGAGGAAAGAGAAGAGAGAAGCCGAAAAGCCTGTCGAGAAGTTACTCAGGCTTTGGAACAGATACCATACATAGATTGGGGGTTCCTGATCCTGATCTCCCAAACTATCAATCGCCTCTTTGCCTTCCATCGCCTCTTTGCCTACCATCGCCTCTTCGCCTTCCGTTACATCCTTTCTCCATAAAGAATGAACCGGAGACAACCAGCATTGTTAGTCAAGGGCCATGGAGAGGGACCATAGGTGGGACCCCGGCCGGGGCCTTCCTTCATTGTACACCAATACTGTAGTGCACAAACAAAAAAAATCCGTGAAACAGAACCTCATGCGCTCTTGTCTTGATGGCCCATGCGGAAAAATTTACAAACAAAAATAAAAGATGTGATGTGTGATACCTTTTTGTCTGAGATGACTGGCATGGTCAACGTTGGCACCCATTTTTTTTGTCCACAGGGAATATTTCTTCCTCTCCTGACGTTGCGAGAACCCTCTTGAGTCATCAAGTACTCGTCCTTATTTGCAACTCAAAAAGTGTATAAATCAAAGGAAAGGGGCGAAAGGAACAAAGATAATTGTACCATATGGAAAAATAGTTGGACGTTTAGCCGGTAAAACCGTAACCCATTTCCCTTTAGCCTTTTTTTATTCTCTCACTTACTCTCCTTTTCTCTAGCCCTTTTGGTGGCAGTTGCATAGCAATGCCAAAGCTGCCCTAGAATTACGAAAAGGGCCTACAATGAAAAAATAAGGGTTACCTTTATTCCAAAAGCACCATCAAAAGCAAGAACCCTCCTTCGACCTAATAGTCCAAGAACCGGTCAGGGAAGATAACAGGGGCCAAGAGGGAGAATGCATAGAGGCCATAGCAGATCCAAGACGAGATGACCTTGACCCAGACTGCAGGCCAACTCTGACCAATCAGAATGAGATTGTCGCTTCTGCCGTCAACTTCTTGGAAGTTGTTCCAGTTGGTGAGGACCATCGAGATGTACATCGCTGCAAGGGCGAAGACGAGATGGAAGAATGTATAGTTGTACTGGCATCCAAATTTTTCGTCGTCCTTGGAGTCGTACTCCTCGTCATCATCGTCATCTGCATCATCCAACGCAGACACAGGAAGCGCACTATGTCATAAACGTTATACAAGTCAGTATTAATGAGAACAAATGGGGTTTAAGAAAGGTAAGAAAAAAAAAAAAGGTCATGGAGGAGAGACTCTTACCCGCTCTCGACGGCGGCGAGCAGGGCATCGGAGCGACGCATGGAGGATCCAGTAGGCTGGTTGTTGACGAGGGGTACTGCAGAGTCCGAGTTGAGAGGCGCGTAGTCGCCACTGTTGATCATGGCTTTTCCTCCCTGAGTCGCAGCCCTGGAGGTTGAGTAAGCAACGGCAAGGAAAGTAAATATAGCTCCCATAAGAACTGAGGTCGTCCTGGTGCCCCTGGCCTTGCTCAATGGGTTACAATTAGTACCCTCATCCGGCTCATTTGCAACCGCGCTGAGGACCAAGTACGCACAATAGATGACCACCATCGACGACTGTGCGAGTCCAGATCGAGGGTTCGCCTCCTGAACAGCCGGCAAGACCCCAATCACTGTCACAGCCACTCCCAAGACAAGGTTAAAGGTGATCCAGAAGATGTTCATGTTGCAACCGTCGCTGGCGAAATACCCGTACATCACCCCTGTCAAGACGATGGCTCCCAAGTACATGATCAACGTTGATCCAACAAGAATGAACTGCCACTTGTTGGTGTCGCTCTGTTCCCATTTGTCCATACAGGTCTCGCTCCATGTGTGGGCAAAGTCGACGAGGAGGATGAGTCCAAAGAGGATAAAGATTCCTGCGCCAATCAGTGCCACATAGTTGCCGTAGAACACAAAGAACCCTGTAGGAATAAAGAACGAGGCCACCACCAGTGCCATCCAGACTAATACTTTAGGACCCCACCATCTAAAGGCACACGAAGAATATATGATGGGTCAATAAGATGGTGTATCGCAAGTAAAAATCAGAATGTAGGGCAAGTGTGGGATGCAAGCCTATATCCACCCCCTTAAGTTTTTTGTCGTCGTCGTCTATTGATTGCATTGCTCTTTGGTTTGTACTTACCCATTCTGAACTGCCGCCCTTTTTGACCGTGAATCATGCACGCCAACCAACAGTGCGCCAAGAATAAAGTGAAAGAGGGCCAAAGCAAATCCAACACGCTGAACCTATTATTTGTATTGAGCCAAAGCACGTTGTAAGATGTCCCTTCTTGCTTTCCAAGTCCCTCGTCATGGTCCTAAAGGCAAGCATGAAACCAGGGTGCACATACCCCAAAGGCTCCATAGCAGGAGTTGTCCTCGCAGTTGAGTTTTAGGTATCCGTGCGTGATACCCTCGAGTTGTTTTGAAGCCCATTCTGAAAGCAGGATCCATGCGAACTACATTCGAAGAGGACACCAAAGTTAGTGTGGTTCTTGGAAGGGGCAAGTCAAGCAGCAATAAGCGAGATGTAATAATGGTGCGGGCTGAGTAGGAGGACGACGAGGCATAACCTACCAATGAGTTGACAAGCATTATCAACTATAGTGAAAAAAACGAAGGAAGCGTCAGTAGGCAATAAAGATACACAACAGCGTCTATATATATGAGTGTATGTATGTTTTGTCGTTTGCTACGTAGCTGAAGAGAGAACTTACGGCGTATCCGACGCGGGTGGCGATGGAGTTGTTGCAGTTGCATGAGCGGCATGCAAGGGAACAAGCAGCGGCGGAGAAGCATGAGGCGAGGATGGAGCCCAGACTGCCAAGGGCAGGCAAGGCGACACAACTCAAGACTGCTCCCATATGAGTCAAAGTTGTTCTTGTTGGCTGGAGAGAGAAAGTGTGTGTTTTGGTGGCGCTCAGAGGTGTGAGAGGAGAGAAAGAGAAAGACGGATGAGGTGTTGTAGTTGGTGGCGTTTGAATGAGAGAAGTGAAAGACGATGAACGTTTGGGTGAACAACAAAAGAGACCCTTGACTTGGCGGGTAAAGAGAAACAGTGCGGACAATGGCAGAGTTAGATCACGTGACTAATTAATGATCACTGGTCAAGCAACATTTCTTTCAAGTTTCAACCCCTTCGATCATCGACCCCTTTATCGCCTTTTACCCTTCTCTTCTTTCTGCTTTATCCACTAACGGTCTCGCGGCTTCGCCAGGATGTACATAAAGGATGTAAGAGTGAAATTGGTACGAAGAGGAAGAAAAAGGACCTCTGCAACACGTCGTGTTCCTTTATTGATCACGACGCGTTCAAAAAAAAAAAGAACAGGATGTTGTTCAAGATGATCGATGCTTGTCCACTTCTTTTTCCTCTTGCTATGAATCAATATCATTCAAACCACGACACAACCATGGGCAGGACCTCTCTCGCCATACAGCGCTGTAGCAATGAACAAAGGAAGATGAATGGTGATGAATAGCATGACCTGCTAACTAAAATATACTTCTCTGTTTCTATGCTCCCTTCCTTGCGTTCCTTTTCTAAGGGTTTTCGATGGATATACTCTTTGCCCTCTTCTTTCACCCCATTTTTTTTCTCCTTTGCCAGCTCCATCCGCCTTTAATCATTTTTATGTAAAGATCCAGGCGCTCTGCTTGTGTTTGAATGTTGTGTGTTCCCCACAACTCAGTAAAACCTAGCGCTCTATATGTTTTTAAAAGCTGTTTATCTCTCACAATCCTGTACAAGCCTGGAGCTCATTAAGATGTACTTCGCCCTTGTCCACAAGTGAAAAAAGAAAGAGAAGATAAGATAATACTCCTTCGCCACCGCACACACACATTGAAAGCCGTTGTTGGCCCAAGACGACAAACAACAAGGTCCTCATATCCCTCTCGGACAAATAAACGAGGTAAGCAGTTTTTCGCTGCCACTTCTGGATACTTCGAGGCAACGTCGTTTTTTTCTCCTTTGATCAAAAGTGAAAAGTGAGGGTAAGAAGGAGGTGAAAACCCAGAGAGATTGTGAGAGAATTGAGACAGTGAAAGAGAAGGAAGAGAAAGGGAAGTACTCACCCTTAAGAAATTGATAGCCAAGCAAATTCTCATAAGGTTGCTCGCAGAAGGGAAAAAGGCGCTGTCTCTACCCTGGTGAAGGCAATTGCACCGAAGAGAGAAATCGACGGGCTTAGGTTTTTTATTGTCTATTTCATCCAAAATTTAGGATGTTTTGGTTAATCTGAGGTTTACTGATAGCAGACTCCGTAGCAAATCATAAATGGGAAACAAGCAGATGGGAACTTACATAAATCTAGCTAGGCTAGCTCATCAGCAGCGTCGCGGGAAGCCATTGTTGTCAATGGGTCCGTTGTCGAAGTGCTCGATGTTTTGTTGTGTTCCAGTAGCGAGAGACTGGGGTTCTGAAGGGGTGGCGCCCTCTGGACGCGTTGATCTCCTGTAGGGAGGAAGTGGCTGTCTGTTGTCGCTCATGATTGTCGTGAATCCCGCAAGTGCAATGTTGACACATGCATTGCTGTCCCTGCCTCGACGTGCATAACCGGCGCGGACACTCTCACAGTTGGGGTTTTCGCACTGAACCGCACCGTTGATTGTGACCAGCTTCTCGACTCCGTTGACAAGTCTCAGTTCCTTGACGAGGCGTAGAATCGCAAAACAAAACGGACAGACTTTGCTTGTCATGTTTTCATCGGTCATCAGTACAGGGACGGAGAGGGCATGTTGCTCAACGACCTTTTTTCCGCCGTACTTTAGATGACCGCCAATGCGACTCCCGGTTCCGATTCCTGCCGTCCCGACGAACATGATAGGGATGATGGGCAACGCATCTCTGGGGCATTCCTGTGGATAGGTGAGTGCCCTTCCAACGCGGATTGGGAGGTGGTGTCTACCACACTTGCAACACCCATCGATAGAGTCGACTGTGTTGACTGATGCTGGTTGGGTCTGTCCTGTTCCTATCAAGAAAACAAAAATAAAAGTACGTTTTAGTTATTTGAATGCCCATTGGAGTTAACAACAAGGAATCAATGCACTCCGATTCTTAAATCCATAAACTTACCTCTGGAAAAATCCTGCATTTTCCGTCGTTCGTCGGCTGCGATCGTCTGCCATGCTCGCTGCAGTTGAAGATCCTTGTGGTGGGTTTGTTTCACTAAGCTTTTGCTGCCCTCGAAGTTGCGAAGGGGTTGTGTAGCTGATCGTCGGGTCACCTGTGCAGAGTCAACTTCACTGATAGTCTGCGCCTTCAAAACGGAGTTTTCTCCTATCTCCTTGTGAAGCTCCGAAATCCTCTGATTTTCCGGCTGTCGAAGCAAACGCTCCCTTGTTCGAGTCGCCCTACCTACTCCACCGACTTCTTTGACCTGTTTTGCGGTGATGCGGTTGGACTTGGCAAAACGCATGTCCTCGATCGTTGCCTTCCGGGATAAAGAGCCAGTTATCGTTATGGCGTTCCGAGTCCGTTCTGGAAGAGATGACGCTTTCGATTCTGAATGCAGAGAGGGCTGGGTGTCCGTGCCATCAATGTCCATGTCCACAGCATCAGCGTGAGAGGTGGGCGGCTCTGAAGCCCCGTCGTCGTTGCCGGTGTGGTGAGTATCGGGATGACCTATAACGTCAAATGAAACGCCGTAGGAAATTATTGCATGAAGACACGATCTTGATATGATAGAGCGACAGTAGTAAAGCAGAAAAGAAAACATACCATGGAGAATATAGTATCGGTTTGATAAAGATTCCAGAGTTGACCACAAGGAGGGGACAGTCTCAGACATAGTCACCAATCCTCTGTCAGTGCCTGGTACAGGTAGTTGTCGGTCCTTGTCTTCAATTTCTAACAGTAGCTGCTTGATGGAGGTTGTCTGAACAAAGTCTTGCATCCCAGGATGTTGAACAGTTGGGACAGACTCTGTGACAGTCGTGATGGGCAGGGGAGAAGGGTCTTCTGATAGTGCTGTTGGGGGGGGCGGTCGCCTTGGACAACCTGTTGTAATAGTAGCGTTGCTGCTTCTTTTCCCGGATCTCAGCCTCGAGAGGAACGATCTTCTTCTTCAGGTTGTTGACGACTTTTCGTGCCTCCTGTAGGTTCTGGTAGATTCCCTTTTTGTGTCTCTGGTCGTGTCCTTCATAGTGACGAAGGGTGCGGTCCTTTTCTCTCCTGACCGTCGTGGCTGCCTTGAGGCCCTTCTTGAGGGGTTGTAGCTCTGTGACCAAACGATCCTGAACAATCTTGATCTCCTCCGACGCTTTGGCTGCAGATTGAGGGGTGTGCCCGGTTTCCAGTAGTTCCGACGTCCAGTTGATTACACCTGATGGCTTAACATGCTTCTTCTTCTTGTCTTCGTACGCACTGTTGGTGAAGTGGCGGTTTGGTCCCGTTATCGCCCGTCGTCCCGTGATGCGTACTGTGTAAAAGTCGACGTACGTCATTCTATCATTTTACAAACAATGCACGGTAAACTGTTATTCAATTGACTCATGATGGTCATAGATATGAATGAGGAGAGGTCATATTCAAGACCTTATGTATGCATACCTTTGTGCGAACTCAAGTCCATGTTTCGTGCAGGCATCGTCGATGATGGCCATATTGAAAAGTCCACCGAAAACATATTTGCGATGATCGGTAGACAGTCTCGCGACGGTCGACGTGGTGATTACTCGACCACTTGGGCCCTTGATATCGAAGCGTCCTGGTGCTCGCCCGCCAAATATGTCATACACCCCTGACGCGTCCAACGGCACAGCATGCCGATTCCCAACAGCAGGAACTGGGCAAATCCTACGGGTGAAATCCTTGTATCCCGCCGATCTCAAGATTGCATTTGCAATATACACAAACGGCCCCAAAGTCAAGACGCTCTTTGGATAGGAAGTTGACTGGGGTCCTGAGTGGGCCTTCTTAGGGGTAAACGGTCTCAGTAATGTCACTAGCCGCAAGACGGCCAAAATCTCCTCCGTGCTGTACATCTCAGGCTCGTAGAGCTTCGCCTTGACTGTCTCTTCGGTGATGGGTATGTTCGAGTCTGGCAATTCCAGCAACCTGATAGCTACTGCTTCTAGACCTCGGAGCTTCTTTGATGTCGGCTCCTTTGGTCCTACGGTGGAGAAAAAGGAAGTGAGAGATATTAGTCAACAGTTAATACCACAAACTCAGCAAGGAGCAGCGTCCGATATTAGTTATTGGTACCTGTTGAGGAGCGTGCCACAGATTCAGACGGACCACTGCTCTGAGCCTCTGCATTAATAGAGCGACCGGCATCTGACTGCTCCTCCATGACCCCCATCTCGCAATCTTGATCTGCTGTGTGAGTGCAAGGCATTAAAACATCATCGCTGCTCTTGCTCGAGCCCGAAACAACCAACTCAGTATCCATATCGTCGTCTGAGTCGTCTGAGCCGTCAAACTCCGAGTCCGTCTCGTAGTCGTCGCTTTGGGTGAGTCCACGTGACTTGTTCTGCTCCTTGACTCCTGGCCGCCGCTCTTGATGGATGTCAATGAGCCCGAAAATCTTGTTGATGCGCTCCTCGTCTCGACTAGTATCAAATGCGTGATCAAGTTGATTGAATAGGTCCTGGTTTCGCCTTTTCCAGTTCCTCAGGGACTCTCGACGCTTTTGGCTTGCCGATGCCGACGCCTCCTTCATCTCCTCGGCCTTCTTGATAGCACGCTTCCGCTTTTGGATGCGGTGTTTCTCCTCGCTCTGGGGTCGTAGATTGAGTCGGAGAACATTGTGCACCACGTACCGTCTCAACCTCTCGTAAATGTCTCCAGACCATATCATCTTGATGTTCGTAGCGTACTCTCGCATGAGTGTGGCCGTCAAGCCCCCCAGGCTTTCCTTCGATGAGTCCTCTGACTGGTATCCGACCTCGACATTGGCATCAGCAGCAGCATAGGCATCATCCACAGCGCCGGAACCAGAGGCTTGAGACAAGCTTGGAATGATCTTGAAGAGGTTGGATGAGGGTGAGTCAGGATGCCTTGAATCATCCCAGGCTTGTGGTACCAGCTTCCCGCTATAGATGCTTTCAAGCACTGTATCCCACAAGGGGTGGGTGGTAGTCTTGGGGGTCTTCCTCGCACGTCTCAATTCTGGAATCCGAACTCCAAGGTACTGCAAATAATCCTGGGATAGCAAGGTTGCCGGATCCTTCACTCGGGGCTTCAACTCCGTAGCATCGGATACAATCTGTTGCCACTCCGGAGTAATGACTCCCGCTTCCACGATCGGGTTCTCCTTGAAGTAGTCGTCCCTGATATCAAAGGATGGCGGGAATATGTCAGCTAGGTTAAGCTGTATGCTTCCTTGGATGCCACCGCGACAGATCTAGAAAGTAAACACGGTCGTGATAACATATAATATTAGTTAACTTGAAATAAATATGTCCTTGCGCGACCACAACCAAGACAGAGAATGTTGAAAACATACCCATAGTGTTGTCTTGTACGCTCCCATGGCAACGGATTCCATAAAGTCAGACACCTCACCCTGTACGTCGTTTAGCCTCTTGGTGATGTAATCTTGATCCTTCGTGGGGAGATCCGTCCTGAGCAGCTTCGCAAGAGGTAGGGTAATAGTGCGAATGCTGTTGTCATCCTGGGCGTCGATGTCCGATGGGGTTAGGGCGATAGTTGTTGAGTTTGCTGAAGCAACGGTAGGATCAGATATGTGGTCCTGTTCCTCGATCCATGCCATGTCAAAGTGTCTTGATAAGGCCGCCTTATATGTCGCTAGAGCTCGTCCAGTAACGGTCTGAGGTTCTCCAATAGGGTGGGTAATCATCATCGATGCGTGATGGTTGGTAAAGTCCTCTTCGTCGTTGATGCCGCAGTGTTGGCGAACGCGTCGAGCAGTTTCATTCATGACTCCCCGAGGCGTTCTTACACGTTTCTCTTCCGCTTGCTTTGCATCAATATGTGCCTTCTCCAATGCTTCCCTCGGATCTGCCTCCTTCTTTGCACGCTTCTTCGCCGTGCGGCACTGATCGGCCGCCTCCTTCTTGACTCGGGCCTCACTAAATGATTTTTTTTTAAAAATATCAAAGACAATCAATAAAGAAGTAAAAATCAAACAAAAAAAGTCTAAAAATCATTCACATAGTAGACATCAAAACACACCATTCCTCCTTGTAGATGGTCTCTAGTGCGACCCTGTCGATCTCGCATCCTTCTCTCTGCTGGCGCGGTCGTTTGGCGGTTCGGAATGTCGCGGCAGGTCCTGGTGGAAGTGGTAGAGACGGGGGTGTTGGTGGCCGTAGATCAATGAAAAGATCGTCCTGTTCCGTACGAGTTGGTCCGAGTACATTGTAGTCCGAGTATCCCAGAATTGACGATGCATCATGAAGAATACCGACAACTCCTTTTGGATAGGGATGGGTGATGACAATGGGGCGGGCGGCGGTGTCAAACAGGAATATGTTGATGTGCAATAGTGCTGAGATGTAGCGAAGAAGAAAGCTTGAAGGTGGAATGGGATATGTGATGGTGTTTTCCTGGTTCCTCCAAAGCAGCAAAAATCCGGTCTCGTTCCTCTCACCACGCTCCGGTGTCCATGAGCCATCCAAGATCGCAATGATAAGCCGTGCAAGAGAGGGTGTTGTGCTGAAATTTAATGCCAAGTGGTGCTTGTTGATAAAGCGAAAGGCGACGGACGCTTGACCCTGTGCTATGGGTTGGGCCTCTGAAGCAATAAAAGCTCCTCCTAGTCGCTGATATAGATCCCCATTGAATCCCTTGTGCAGGATTTGTTCTGCAGCCTCGTTAACGAACTTCCAGTCCGGCATAAAGGAGTGCATCTGCTTCGTAGTAGTTAAAACAGAACGGAACAATATGTTGTGAGTACATAATCTCTCTCTCTCTCTCTCTCTCTCTCTCTCTCTCTGCAAAACGCAAGGTGATGAACGTTCATGAACTGTTTTACGTACTCCAGGGCTGTTGTCGCTCATGACGGATGTCGTCGTCTTTGCAAAGAGAGTGTGCTGGTGGTGGTGGTGTTATCGTTCGTGTGTCACGTTGGGAAAGTGAACAGAAAAGGTTGAGTGGGAAGAGGAATGTGTGGAATTGTGGGGGTTATCCACATAAGGTTGGTTTATAAAAGTCACGTGACACATATGGGTTTATCCCCGTCGGCATAGGCACGGTTTTAAACCGATAGGCAGCCTTGCATAATTATTTTTTTTCTGGCGGAATCATCCACATGGGACGCATGCATGTCACTCCATTCTTCCCTCTTTCTCCACTCCACATCGCCACATTAGCCTCATTCAGACAAGCCCACACCCCAATCTTCCCTCTTTCTCACTTCACATCGCCACATTAGCCTGATTCAAACAAGCCCACACCCCAATACACATTACACACACCCCCCCCCCCCCAATACCCGACTAATTAATGACACGGGTAAGCTAAAGAGGTATTTGCACAATTGGGGCGATATGTCCTGTACCTGATTGGCATCCACCATACCACCATACTTACTATTTCGTTCTATTGTTTTATTGTTTCGCGTTAAACAAGTCGTGCAGCTTTTCTGTTAAAGGCAAAGCCATAGCACGAAACAAACGGCAGCAGACGAGCATGCAAGGCAGCCAGCCGGCAAGAGCAAAATCTAAGCTGGAAACCTACCGCGAACGCAATAGGGTTGAACAACAAAATCACCTCTGTAATAAGCAGAAGGAGCTAGCAAGCTCCCATCTTGTGGCCGAAGCTCGCAAGTCCTTGCAAGCCCAGTCGACGCGGGACCAGTATGATCGGTACCAGGAGAAGTTCATGGTATGGCAAATTGTAAAATGTACCCCCATTTTTGCACAAGCATAGATAAACTATGGCCCCCGACTCGACGCACTAACTAACTCAATCACTCCATCCCTTGGTATAGGAATGGTGCGACGTTTCTGGATATAAGGATGATTACAACGTCACGAAAGGCAAAGTAACCCGTTACTTTGCTTGCCTGACCTGCGAGACGGAAGATCCTCAAAACGGTATGAATATGAAAAATGGAACTAATGTGAGCGGTCATACGATACGACGACGACGACGAAACGCTATGGTGGTGTTTGAAATTATAAGAACTAACGAAAATATAAATGCAATAGGTATCATACGGATCAAACCGTTGCCAAGAGACAGGAAGGGCAACAACAGCAAGGACAAGTCCGGCGAACGGCGGGCAAATATGGATGACCCGTGTTCTGATGATGATGTCGATGGAGGCGATGTGGAGGACAAAAGCGATGACAACTGCGAGGGGGACGCCAGTCGAGACGTTGACATCCACAACAGCAACAATGAGAACAGTGAAGAGCGGTGGTACTCGACGGCAACCATTCTCTTGCACCTCGCTGCCATTGGCGACCTCTATAAGCATCAGTGTGAAGACAGGAACAATTTAGCGATGGATTATGGCACAGTTCCGGCCCCGAAGACGTACCTTCAACCTCTGATCGACGTTTACCGCGTGAGGATGTCCGCCAGGAAGAGGTCGACAGATACCGACTTTGGCTCTATCGACTTCACCCAGAACCCAACTTCGATTGTTCGGCAGCTAATGAAGCGATTTTGGATGCGCAATGTGGAGGGCGCAGCCAGCTTGAGAAAGCGCCGCTTGAAAGGGTTACGCGACCGTGCGGATGTAAGTCTTTGCTTTTTTATGATGTTCCGCAGCGAGGTCACACGCCAGATCCGACTCCCGGATCTTTTCGCCCACGACGTCGAGCCCAACCGCAACAAAAATACGAACGATGCCAGCTGCAGAGAAGGCCAATTCGTGCTTGGAGTTGTGCTGATGATGAGGCAAGGCAAGACGAACAAGGACGGCAAGATTCAGTATGGAGTTGCAGTTCGGAACAAAGAAGTAGATGTGTGTCCAGTTGGCGCGCTAGCCTTTTATTTGCTTGAGCTTTGGTCGGTAAGTGGCGTGCATGTGGTAAATGTCGGCGGCCGACGCGTGGTGTCACTCATATTTCAACACTCATTTAATAATGCGTTCTTCCCCCCCCCCCCTCTTCCTTTTTTTTGCTGTACTAAGAGCAAAAACAAAAGGGCGCCTGATCTCACCAACCCTAAATGGACCGACTACCATCTGTTAGCTGGAAACAAACCAATGGATGTACCGATGACTTACAACTCCCAGTTCCAGGCGCAGGTGGAGGCTCTTCATGAGAGCGGGATATTGGACAAGGGCACAGTGACTCACCTTGGGCGCAAGCACGGCTCCAGATTCGCGCATATGTGTGGATCTACGGTAGAGGCGATCGCTAAGCACGGGAACTGGGCATCGAACCGTCTCTCAACTCACTATCTCGAGGGTGTAGAGCCTTCAGTGGCCCTTCGATTGGCTGGATTTGACCGCGACCGTCTAGAGCGCTTTTGGCTGGCTCGGAACACTGTGATCCCCAGCATTGAGCTCCAAAGGCAGTTGTTCCCTTTCATCGAGGATGCTTGCTCCGACACGTTCTGGAGGCTCACGATTGACAACATTATGCGTGACTGCGACGTTTTCCACGGACGCGAGGAGTTGCGTGAGAAGCTGCGACGGGGCGAGTGCAAGGAAGTCAAGCAGGTGTACACGGACAAGGATATGCAGACCGTTCTGTCGAATGAGGTCATTTCAAGAAAGCGCCATCTTAGCCTTCTCGCCCACCTGCGAAAGGTTATCCTTCAGGATGCAGCTGTCATCCTGTCCGGGGGTGGTGCTGCCGCCGCGCACCCTGTTTTCGATCACCCTGTCTTCAAAACACCTGCGTTTCAAGATTTCCAGCAAACCCTACTCGAGAGCATGAGAAATCCCTCTCCTCTCACGGATTCCCTCGCATCTGCCACACCCATCATCCAACTGGAGTTTGACAGGGTCGGCGCGAGGCTCAGTGTCCAAGATGCTGCAATCCGGAGCCTGCAGCAAAGCCAGCAAGCCGGACTTCAGAGTTTGCACGCCGGTATGAATGTTCTAGCAGCTACTTTACAAGCTCAGAATGATAGGACAGCATCCGAGCTGAAGGACTTGAAGCGGTGCATTGGCAACAATGACAAACTGGCAGGCAACAAGCGACAATGTTTGAACAAGGATGCCGTTCGATCTCAGTTGATGCAAGCTCTCAAGTCAACGGTGGAAGCCGTGGTGGCGATTAGCGAGGACGATGAGGTGAAGGTCAGTGACGACGTCAACGGCAGTGTAGCAAGCCAGAGTACCACTATGTCTACCGCCATCGCTCTTCTTCAGCTTCCAGAGCCGGACGCTGGCCAGCAAGAATCAAGACCTCTGACTTCTTCCACTGCAGTTCTTTCAAGGGATGCGCACCGCCGCGCAGCTCTGGCCGCTTTCAACCCCAGCGACAATGTCGAGGACAGAATGCGACAAGTAGCCGTCTTAGTCGCCGACGAGAAGAGGGCGAGAGGAGAGACCCAACACCATATGCCCCTAATGCCCGAGTGCAAGCTGATCCCACGACCGAATACGCTCGACCAACTGTGGCAAGAGTGGTTTTACCACGGCGTCGATGGGTCCCCCTCCATCGCAGAGCTTAATAGGTGGTTCGGTTCAGCGTGGCGAGGCAAAGATGCACAGCTCTACAAGTGGAAGAAGGACATTGTACATTCGGTTTTGCGCTCTATCCCAGCTGGCTTGCAGGTTGACAAGTCCGCCGTAAACAATGCACTTGCCTTCGTAAGAGGGCAAATCGATACTGTTGGTTCAATTGATAAATACTACAAGGCTCTTCCCAAAGCACCCTCGAGAAAGTACCCAAAGAGAAGAGAATAAACACCATCCTTGGTCTATCACAGTGTTACATGTCAGCTCGCTCTACATATGGTTAGGAGCAGGGTGAGGGCAAAGCTGAGGGAAGGAGGAGAGAAGAGGATAGTAGAGAGGGGAGTAGAGAGAGTGATGATAGAAGGACCTAGGGATAGAGGGAAGGAAGAGCAGAGAGGAATAGAGAGCAGAGAGTGTGATGTAAGCAGGAGGGCAACGCAGTTCTCAATGTGTTCAGGCACAGGCACGAGAGGAGAGGGCACATGAAACAATCTATTCACACATATGTGACTGGTTTATAACTGTCTATCGTGCTCGGAATAAAAAAATCTATAAACCATTATAAGCCGCTAATCTGCGTATAATGTAGTGGGGTTGTCGTTCAGTGTCGTGTAGAAAAGGGAACAGATGTATAGAATGTGAAGGGAAGAAAAAAAGAGATCGAGTGTTGTCTTTCTGAAGAGAGTGTGTTGTGTGTGTGTTGGTTAGGTGCGGGTGAGGCTGGAGAATAGGGTATGCTTTTCGCCAGTATCAACTTCGCTTAATTGAATAGGCCTTTTTGGCTCGCACTTTTTATACCAAGAATAACATTGATCATAAATTGATAATTTTGCGTGAAATCCACTATATTATTTGTCGACAAACGAAACTACAATCTAGAAACAAAGCAAGCAAAATAAATAGTAATGTAATTGAAACCAAATCTCAAGTAAGGAGGGAGAGAGAGAAAGGGGAAGATGATATTTAAGGCTTTGGGGGTCCCTTGTGGGCAAAGTGGATTCTGCGGCATCCACCACGGCAGATGTGGAGTGCCTTTCTGAATCCAGGCAAGGTGTGGTTCCTGAATTGAGTCCATTCCTTCTTGGTGAATCCTTCCTTCTTCCAGTTGAAGTTCTTGGCGAAGTAGACATCCTCGTTCTTGGTCAGAGTCTTGGAGTTGCACAAAACGTAGGCCTCAAACTTGTCCTTGGTGACCTTGGAAGCCTTGCCCTTCAACTTCAGGAGTTCCTTGACGCATGGCTATAGATCATTTTGTTTAAAAAATAATATTAATTCATCAGCTCATGTGAAGATAAAAAACATTGTAAGAGAGTGATGGATAGATATTCAAACATGGACTGTACCTTGATGTGAGGACGCATGTTCTTCATCATGTAGGACATTCTGCCGTAGTCCTTAACCTTCATGTATTGCTTCACGGTGATGTCGGGCTTATGGCTAAATGGAGGAGTGAAGGCGACGCACTGCGTTTGGCAGTCGATGACTTGGGACATCTCCTTGGCTGAATAGACTGGGGCAGGGGCAGCAGCAGCAGAAGCAAAGGCGATGGCTGTTCCCAATAAAAGGAGGACGGACTTGGTGATGGCAACCATGTTTAGGAGTTTAGGAGTGTAAGGTAAGGTAAGGGAGAGGAGTGTGTGTGTGTGTGTGTGTGTGTGTGTGTGTGTGTGCGTGTGCGTGTGCGTGTGCGTGTATGTGTATGTGTGTGTGTGTGGGGAAGCAGAGGCCTGAGGGGAACTGTTCCACTTTGCTCCTCCTTTTATATTCCATCCCCTGGTCATCGGAATGGAGGAGTCAAAGAGTCAAGGACAAATGCTATTCGTAGCACCCTGCTTTAGTCCTATTGTCCGTTATTGCGCTCTGAAGCTAAAGAGAAGAGGGAGCTATCTTTTTATTAATGAGAGCCATGTTGACTTGTCTCGACAACTTTTCGTTGGTCAGGCGGTCCAACCTGTACCACCTCTAATCAAAGAAAGGAAAAACGTTGACTCCCCTGCAACTGCAAACGAAACCTTAGATATACCGGGAAATCCTTTGCTCACCTTTCTCCACTCATTTTTTTTATTGTCTTGAGAGGGTTCCACCTACCTTTAACTCCTCCTCGTACACATTCGGCAAAGACCCCCCCCCCAACCAAAACACTTTGACTCGTCCCCATTCTGTTCTCCTTCTTCCTCGCCCACCCAACAAGACACCGAGATACTGCTTCAGGTTTCGCCCTCAGAAATCAGTGTTTATCATCAACCTCTGGCGGCTCAGCCACCCTCAGGATGAAACAGATTATTATTGGAAAAAGTTCATTTGGTCGGTGATCAATTGCAATAAATAACCCTATCAGCACAGGAACACAGCAACGTGACGTGCGCTGGTGAAGAGTGAGAAGGTGCCCAGCAGCCCTTTGATTCCAAGCTGTTAGGGATGGATACCATCAAGGTATTTATGGAAGTTGGGAGGAGACTACATGATGTCAGGGAAATGTGTGAAGCGAAAGAGGATATAAGTAAGTCAAGAAAAAGAGAAACAAGATAGTAGTAGACAGCGTCCAAAGACCAGCGTTCTGATTGACATAGGAGCCATGGATGGATGTGTTGGCAATCCTTGATTTTAGACAACAATAGGAAAGAACTGATGGTCGCGTGTGAGAGACGAGAAGCGAGATGAAAAATAGTTTGCGAGAACACATTGCGGATAATAGAGATCCACGTTTGAAGCATAACAATAGGATCGCGTAGTTGGAACGTGATATTCCTAGCTCATCTGTCTATCTCTTCATTCCGAAGCCCTAGGCGAAAAAGGTGACACTTAAAGCGGAGGATTATTGACATGCCAGGGAGCCTTCATTCCATTCGTCTAAAAAAAAACACACCGTTGAGCATTTTTTCCAGTCGTGTAGGTCTCGAAGTGTGGACTTGTACTGTGTCAGGAAAAAATGGCCCTTTACTCATAAGGCATGAGTACCAAGAACATGCCTCGAGCGAACTATGAAGGTGGCGACCAAGAAGGTACTTTTTTATTTTGTTGGCATTGAGCAATGGTCGGTTGGTCTCTGCAATTTTATTAAATTACAGTGGGTGCTCAAACTTTAATTTTGAGGGTGTCGGAACGGACAAGTCACCCAACAAACACACAGGCATGGAATGCAAGAGGCTTCGTCTTTGCTCCTCAACAAAATATCTCCGGTCTATGCATGTCTAGACCATTGTTTTGTTTGTACCTCTGGACCCTGCCACTTGTTACCAACATCCATTTTTATTTATGAACATTAGCCCTAAAAGAATGAAAAGAGGGTTCACGCTAGCTACATTTGCAATGAAAAGAGGTGGAAATTGGTGTATTGGCAGATTAATGAAAGGGCTCCTTTTAGATTCATGCTCATGGTCATAGATGTGGAAAGAGAAAGTGGGATAGAAAATTAAGAAAAAGCAATACTAGTCTTGAGAGTTTAGGAAAAGGGCAAGACTATTATGGTTGTTTCTTTGACCATGTTATCCAGCGTGCTTGCTATGCACCTTGTTTTCCTTGTTTCGGTTTGAGATGCAATTGGAAATCCCTAAAAGAGGCCGAGATCTTTTCATGCTGTTAGTGCGGTCCTTATGGGTTTTTGTAAGGGTTTTTGGTTTCAGAAAAAAAACAGGCTTCCACGGCCGTGGGAGCCCCCCAAATTTCGGCTTCTTTTGAGGACACTCGTCCAATTGAAAGGAACGTGATGGAAACGAGACAGGTCTGTTGTTGACGGGGAGCATTCCTTTGTTGCCCTTGTCGTCTTTCTCTCATACCGAGCGAGACATCAATAATGGGGAATATTTGTTCGACATTGGACCTGGAACCATTCTTTTCCTTTTGTCTCTCCAACCTTGGAATTTGCCACGACTCACCCAATTTTTTTCCAGGGCTGTCTGTAATAAAAACTTGGTCGACGCCCAACAACACAGAAAAGCAATTGCTTACGCCCTACTCATCGATAGTGGTACGATAGGAAAGAGGGCGTTCGCGTTCGCGCTGCTTCAAAAAGTGAGTTTCTCGTCCGGTCATTGTCCCAGTCCTAACACCCTTGTTCAGGCTGTTTTCATTTTTATGCGACGACTGGTTATTTTTGTAACTCGAAATTTCATTATTATTTTTTTGGCATTCGCATGCAGCATCCAAAATGGGATTGGGCGATCGAGGCGGGCGGCTATTGTCAGTGTCGGCAATCATGGGGGGTACTCCGACGCATGCTTATATCTGAATTTCTGTAGAGAAGAGGGGACATGGAAGCATGGTCGATCGACTCTTTTGTTCTGTCCCACCATTTGCTTCATGACCTACCATTTTCGCAACAAGTCCTTCCCCTCCCTCTCACTCATTTGCAGTCAGGTCCCATGGTGGATTTTTCTTTTATTTTTGTCTCGTTGACGCTGACAGCGTCAGGTCCCCGGGCGATTTTTCGTCTCTGTTGCCTGAATGAATGAACAACACCCTGAGCCCGACCCTTCAAATCGCACTAGTTCTCTTTTGTGTATGTATGCCAATGTACTTTTCCTTGACACAGGCACAATTTTGCCATTTTCTTCTCTCCATTCATACCATCTGGCCAGAAGAGGAAACTTTATGGATGCTATTTGTGGTGCCATTTGTGGTGCAATTTCCCTGCATCTATTATTCGTCTCAAGGCAGGAGAGATAGGCCACATTCATGTAAAAAACTCTCTCACTCCCACCAATCAACCAAAGGGTCGCCTCTTGAATGAGGAACCGGCTCATCTCTCACCAAATGTCTCTAAACTGTAAAATAACGATTGCCAAAGGGAAAACGGCGAGTGGACAGCGAGAGCACACAAAGTTGCCCCTGTACCACATCTCTGTCGACTTCCACCACCAGGGTACACAACAAGCATGGTCCCAACAGCCTCGGCTTACATTCTAGGTATAAAAGAACCCCCGGTTGCCATATTTTTTTTTCCTTTAAGCAACCCTTCCCCTTCCAACTTACCCCCCACACAGCTAAACCTAGCCAACCCACCCTTACATACCCTTTACCATCTCCATACCCTCAACACCTTCCCTACTCTAAAACTATCATCATGAAGTTCACCACCGCTCTCATCGCCCTCGCTGCCGTCGCCTCCTCGGCCATGGCTGTCGTCCCTATCCCCGTCGAGGGTGAGTTCACCCTTTTTAATCTTTCTACAGCACGACGCGTGTCTTGACCTCAGTGAACTAGACACATCAGAGCTGACCAATTGAACTCGCGTTTTATTTTGTTCATCCCTCTAGGCTGCCAGAAGACCGTCGTTGTCAAGTCCACCGACACTGGCTGCATCCAGTTGTAAGTGTCGACTTTCAGTTTTCTTTCAACATGGGCGCGAATGAGCAAGAGATGCGACCATAGGGGAAAAAAAAAAAAGATGACCAGCAAAAAAAAAAGTCTCCGCTACACCAGCTGTACATCTGCACGGATATTAATTCCTCCCCTTTTATCTACTTCTCCACAATCCATCACAAAAACAGTGCCGGTGACAACGGAACCACTTTCGCAAACTTGTTGAAGTGGAACAACAAGCTCCGCGGCGACTGCGCTAACTTGGATGTCGGCCACCCCTTGTGCGTCTTGGGCCCCAAGGAGCCCACCACGCCCGCCAAGAAGCCTACCCCCAAGCCCACCACGCCCGTCAAGAAGCCTACTCCCAAGCCCACCAAGCCTGTCAAGAAGCCTACTCCCAAGCCCAAGAAGCCTACTCCCAAGCCCAAGAAGCATACTCCCAAGCCCAAGAAGCACACTCCCAAGCCCAAGAAGCCCATCCACAAGCCCAAGAAGCCTACCCCCAAGCCCACCAAGAAGCCTACCCCCAAGCCCAAGACGCCTACCCCCAAGCCCAAGACGCCTACTCCCCCTGCTGTCCCCAAGCCCAAGGAGACCTACGCCAAGCGCAACTTCTTGAACAGACTTTAAGTTAGTTCTGAGTCGAGAAGACGAGCATTGAAAGGAGCGAAAAGGGAGAGGCCGGTTTCTTTCCTTATTGTTCCTGACAAATAGAGTCGCACAATAAAAACAACAACAATACCCCCATTCACTCTTTTATGTTCGCCTTTTGTCTCTCTTTTTTACAATTGGTAAACTCGCCTTCGGCGTGAGGCCATTGTCTCTCTAAGACAGCAATAAAAAGAGGCAAGAGAACCCAAATCCTTTCAACCCACAAGCAAAATACTTGAGAGCAAGAGGCAAGAGGCAAAAGAGGAGAGCAAACATAAGAAGGGAAGGCAGGGAAAACCCCCCCAAATGGACACAGAAACAGCTCTCAGGGTCAACCCGCCTGCCTTTTTGGAATTGCGCCAGACGACTCAACCGAGTAATGTCGCCTTTGTCCACCCTGCCCACATGGCCTCAGGAACAACAATACCAGCATAGGTATGGGCCTAGAATGGCTTGCTCATAATCCCAGGATGACAACTGCTTCCAACATACCCATTGAATCCGCAAACGTCGATATTGACACTGATATTCCGTTATATTAAACTGCGCCGCCAACTTTTATTTGTAAAAGGCTGGTAGAGATATCCAGAAATGACTGCCTCTACGACGACGCTGGCGGTGCAGGTGCAGGTGCAGGAGTTGTTGGCGCAGGTGCAGGTACAGGTGCAGGGTTGTCGAGAAGGTACTGAACGGCCGCCTCCAGATTGTTGTTGGTAGCATTGAGCGCCTGGGTAGCCTGCTCCTGAGTCGCCGTCGTGAAAATGCTCTGCAGCGTCGCCACATCGCTTTCAGATGGTGCCCGTGGTGTTGCTCCCTGAGCTGCTCCTCCTGTCGACAGCACATCCAAGTATTCCTATGTATCAATTGAAAATGACCATGGTCGTTAGGTAAGTCTGTCCTAATCGCATTTTCAAGGCCAAATTCCAACAGGGAAGTTGCAAGTTTCAGATCGATCGGTTTTGCAGATTGGGAGGAGAAGAGGTCTGACTTACCCGCATGGCTTGAGCTGGACGATCGGATGTCCTGGAAGAGGACGACGACCGGTTCTCAAAGGTAGTGGCTGTTGATCGGATAGCGGGCGAAGACGAGAAAATGGGCAAGAGCAGCTTGATGGCCAGTCTCTTGATGGGTTCTGGGAAACGCCATCTCCTGGTGCCAGCCATGTCGCTCCTGTAGATAGCTCCTGCCAACAGCCCGCAGACAGCCGACGCAAGCGATCCTGGCATGTGCGACAAGATCAACTAATAGAAGGATAAATGCGTTAGTCGATTTCCTCAGTAGGAGATAACTAAGAGACCGGACGTCGACAGGGCACATGAATACAAAAGTGAGTGCGAAGTGGGCAGCGTACCTGTGTGGCAAGGGCATACATGAAAACCTTGTCCGTGAATGCGATTCCAAAGACCTTGAACTCGTACATGGTAGGAATGACGCGGTAGAATTGATAGAGTGCCGCAAAAAGAACACCATAGGGTCCTGCAGGCAGGACATTGAGTCCTAATGGGCTTCCTGTAACCAGCACTGCAATATTCAAGAGTGTGCATGTCACCGCCGAGACAAACAAGAAGGCCTGTGTCAAAGTGAAAACAGACGCTACGCGTTAGTACTACTACTAGTCACATCTGGGCTAACTTCGGCGTCAAGTACACAAGCGTCATCGTGGTGGATCTCCGATGCTTAATCCTGAAGGTTCCTGCTTACCACATATTTGGCGGGTCCAAAGAGGCGTTCAATGATCCTGAGATGGTAGATAATTAGGCCGCCAAATAGCATCTCCGTCGAGCTCGAGAACACAAAATGGGATGTGATTAGGCGCCAGAACTAGTTGCGTTCAAGGTAAAAGATATTGTTATCAAACTGCTCAATTGTTTCTAGGAATACGGCAGACGCTACAACAAAGGGTAGATTGGATGATACCTGATGATGTGTGGTGAGGTGTGGGACGAGTTGCAGATGGAAATCGGTCTTTATTTGGAAGATGGACGACAGGAGTGTGAGCCCTCCGACCACCAGTAGAGCACCTTTGGTCGTTGGAGCATTGTAAAATCCTATTATCCCCACGATTGGGTATTACGCAAGAAGAGAAAGAGAGAGATAACAAAACAACGTTAGTATTGAAGTTGACGTTCGCATTGGAGAAAAATAAAATAAAAATGGGGCTCAGTCAAGGAGCAAGGATCGAAAATGAAAGTGTGTGTTCTTGTTGAGTCACAGCGGACTCAAGGGCGAGTCAGTAAGGCTCCATACCGGAGGGACCAGTAGCCAGCATGACGGTAAAAGGAGGCTGATGATGACGACGTGAGGAAGAAGTTTTCCTTTTTGTTGCTCGTTCGCTGTTTTTTGTCGCTTGTTGGTCTGGTGTGCGTCAAGGATGAGTGCTGAGTCTGTCACTTGGTAGACGTGTTGTGTTGATGAAAGAGAAGTGAAGGGTCGATACGTATGTGTGCCAGGGACAAGCAGACAAGCAAGGCGTGAAATAATTCATTGGCTTGAGACCAAGAAGCAATTGAGCGAGTGACTGTTCATTCAACGTCATGAAGGAGCCATGTTTTTAGATAAATAGACCTTTGAGAACGAAGCTTCTCTTCTTTTCCATCACCCCTATTCCCAACAAACCCACACTCAACCATGGCTGAAAACGCAGCAATCGCAGAAATCACCAAGAAGGTCGAAGAAGTTATCCTCGAGTACGTTACCACCTCACCTACAGCGAAGACGACGACCACCGCAACACCACTACCACGAACAACACCCTTTTGGATAATCGATACTTCGCTCTTGTCGCTCATTCACTCGCGTTTTGTTGGAGCTGGATCAAATCACCCTCAACCCAACTCCTCAATCGCTTACATGTCACCTACCTTTCTTTTTTCACTCATGTTCGCCCTTTGTGCCATTGTTTTTATCATATTCAGTGAGCACGGTCAGCCCCTGTCCAAGAACGCCCTCAAGAAGCTCGAGAAGGAGAAGCTGAAGAAGGAGAGAGCCGAGAAGGATGCCCTTGCCCGCGCCGCTCAGGCTGCCGCCAAGGCCAGCGCCACCGTCGTACGTTCTTCGCACCTTTGATGATTCAACATTGTTCGATCCGCTGCCATGTTGCTGTTTTTTTGGTGTCTTTAAGCCTTGTTTGCTAACAAGTTTTTGTCTTGTTGTTACGATAGGATTACTCCAAGGACTTTTACGGAAAGCAGGCCATCAACCAGTCTGCCGACCGCCCTGGTACGACATACTCAACAACTGATCACCACACCAAAGGCAATATAAAAAAGAATCGCGTGGGAAATTGCAGGACCAATAATCTCACACCTCCCTGTTCTTGTTGACAAAAAAATCTTTACATAGGTCGCAAGCATGAGCGTCTCACTGACATCAGCGCCAGCCGCGCCGGCGAGAAGGTTTGGATCCGTGCCCGCGTCCAGACTTCCCGTCCCACTGGTAAGCAAGGAAAACACCTGCAAGGCCTGAACGGATTGAACTGGAAACTATCGGGGACCCAGATCCTACGGCGGTGATCGGAGCTGACGAAAAGATAAAACTAACCAAATGAGAGAAAAAAACTGATGTCATGAAACATAGGCAACAAGATGTGCTTCTTCCAGTTCCGCCAGAGCAGCGCCACCATCCAGGGATTGGTTGTCTTTGACGAGACCGCCATCAGCAAGCAGATGGTCAAGTTTGCCCAGAACATCCCTTCCGAGTCCATTGTCCTCGTCGAGGGTATCATTGCCAAGCCTCTCGAGCCCGTGAAGAGCTGCACTGTTCAGGATGCTGAGATCACCATCAGCCAGCTGTTCGTCACCAGCGAGGCTCAGGGCCGTCTCCCCTTTAACTTGGAGGATGCTTCCCGTCCCGAGGCTGAATTTGAGCGTGAGGATGCCCAGTTCAGCAAGGTCAGCTTGCACACCCGTCTCGAGAACCGTGTTTTCGATTTCCGCGTAAGTGGCCCTTGTTTATACTGGAAATGTTCTCATGGATTGTGCACCTACTCTTCATATTATTGAAAACAGTCAGTCATTAACACCAGTATGTTGGTACCTTCTTGTCAATAGACCATCACCAACCAGGCCATTTTCCGCGTCCAGGCTGGTGTCTGCAAGCTCTTCCGCGATTTCCTCGACTCCAAGGGATTCATGGAGATCCATACCCCCAAGATTATCGGAGCTGCCAGTGAAGGTGGTGCCAACGTCTTCAAAGTCAAGTACTTCGACAGTAAGTCCCGCTCTTTGTTCGCGTACGTTTACGTTTTTTAGCCTTTGCTTTCATAACACAGACTAATCCTATTGTTTGTTCATCTTGACAACTTAATAGCCGATGCTTACTTGGCCCAGTCTCCTCAGTTCTACAAGCAGATGGTTGTTTGCGGAGATTTCGAGCGCGTTTACGAGGTCGGCAGTGTTTTCCGTGCCGAGAACTCTTTCACTCACCGTCATATGACCGAGTTCATGGGACTCGATTTGGAGATGGCTTTTGAGGAGCACTACCACGAGATTCTCGATGTCTTTGACGAGCTCTTTGTCTACATCTTCAAGGGTCTCGAGGAGAAGTACGCTGCCGAGCTCGAGATTGTCCACCGCCAGTACCCCTTCGAGAAGTTCCAGTACTTGCCCAAGACTCTCCGCCTCGAGTACAAGGATGCTGTCGCCCTTTTGCGCGAGAACGGAGTCGAGATGGGTGACTTTGACGACCTCTCGACCGAGACTGAGCGCAAGCTCGGACAGTTGGTCAAGGAGAAGTACCACACTGACTTTTTCATGTTGGACAAGTTCCCTCTCGCCGTCCGTCCCTTCTACACCATGCCCGACCCCAAGAACCCTGGCTACTCCAACTCGTACGATTTCTTCATGCGTGGTGAGGAGATCCTTTCGGGAGCTCAGCGTATTCACGATGCCGAACTTTTGATCAAGCGCGCCAAGGAGCACGACGTCGACCCCGAGTCGGTCAAGCACTACGTCGATGCCTTCCGCATGGGTGCCCCACCACATGGAGGCGGAGGAATCGGATTGGAGCGTGTCATTTTCTTCTACCTTAACTTGGGCAACATTCGTCGCGTTTCTATGTTCCCTCGCGACCCCAAGCGTCTCTTCCCTTAAGCGCTTCCTCTTTCTTTTCTCGCTTATTTGATAATAAATTCCAACAACTTTTTTTTATGCATCGCCTTCAAGCTTGTTACCATGCCGTTACGAATCTCGTGCTCCTTTTGGACAGCATGCCGTTACAAAACTAATGCTCCTAATAGGACACCATGACGGTTGGTCTTTTCGCCTAAAGTACATGCAGTTCTGCGACTTATGCATGAGGATATGCCTTTTCGATGCAAAAGGAAGGAAAAGGAAGAGAGAATTGGCGAACCATTTTATCTTTTTTAACTGGTATAAATGATACCAGCAATTGAAGAGAACAAATAACAACATAAATTGACAACGGTAAAGGCAGGTCAACCAGGATGGAGATATTATATGATGATGCGATGCGATGCGATGCTATGCCGTGTCATATCCGTTGAATTTTACGTTACTCCTTTTCGGTTATTAGTTTATCAAGGTTTATCAAGGGCCAACAGTGTATTGCAACGCAGGCATGTCATTCGGCCCCGGAAGCTTTGATTTACAATCATGTTTTCTACCCATCTCATGCTCACTCCCGTTGACTAATGTTGCCTTTCTGTTGTTGATTTGGTCCCCCTGTGCATCTTAGCAACCTCCACCTATTTCCACCTCCTGATTTCTGTTGGATATCAATTGTGTGTATTCAATTAACTTGCTCCGTATCTACAATTCCGAAACGCGAAATAGCTGTTTAAACCTTTGCATTTTGATATAGGAGGCGCTGGGCAAAGGGATGGGCTCAGGACATGAACAGGCATGAAGAAAATAACGATTATGCGGCATGGCAACAATGTTGGACAGTAGTCAAGGACAGGGTGGCGCAAGAGACGAACAAAATCGCCAGGAAAGTAATCTAAAGGAACGATCCCATTTGATCCAGTGTATGGAAGGTAATGCCTTGTCGTTACTTGAGTTGTTCACGGACCAACCAACATGGCCAATGGCGTGGCGAAAGAGTATGTCCGAGTGAGAGCAAACACAAAAGAAATACTTCTAACAAAGGAGTGCAATGAGCTCTATTTTATTTTGTCGCCCAAGGAGATGCAGAAAGAAGAAAAAGGGGGGTTGATGAGTCGGGACACGGCAAGGAGGCTCCAAAGGGATCCAGACAGACAAAGTAGAGACGGACAAATGGCCCAACGATAGACAATGAAGACCAGTCGTGTGTGTTTCTTCTTCCTTCTGGCCCAATGCTCAGTATTAATATACATCATGCACCATTCACCCTTTCCGATTTGTGTTGTTGACGATTTGTTTGATCTTTGCTCTTCTCTGTGCTTGTGTGTGTGTGTGTGTGTGTGTGTGTGTGCTTTTTTGCTCTCTGAAGGTGTCCGGATCGAACCAACGCGTTTCCACTCACCCTCATGCCCTTCATTCCTTTCTCTCTTGTTTCCAGTTTGGTTTATCCTGAGAATGACTGTGCCACGGTTCTCGAGCCAGCCTTGCTTATTCGTCCTTTCTTATTTTTAAACCATCGACCTGGTCCCCCTCGCTCTTCTTCTCTCTTCTCTCTCTTCTCTCTCTTCTCTCTCTTCTCTTGTTCTCTCTCTTCTCTCTCTTCTCCCTCTTCTCTCTCACTCACTTTTTCCTCTCATCTTTTCTTGTCTTCTTCGTTTTCTTTTCTTTGTACTCCCACACCGACAACCCCTCGGCTCCAAACAATAGCATCTCATCCCAAAAAGTTACTCAGCAACCCAAATAACCAGCGCTCGTCTTCCCTGCATCAACGAGATACCAAAACAAACCAACACCAACACTCACCTCTCCACATCACCCTCTTCCTCTCTTCCCTTTACTCGATCCACTTACTCATTACACTCCTCTGTCATCTCCATCCACCCACTTGTATATCCTTAGATCCACTCCCCTCACACACAAAACCCCACACAACACAACCAACGATGCTGCCCTGGCTTTCACAAAGCAGCGGCAGTGGTTCTGGCAATGGGATCGGATCTCAAGCACCGATCTATTGCTCAATGCTTGTCCTCGCTTGTACACTCCTCCTCACTCGCCTCTACAACCATGCTCATATCCAACTCGATCCTCGACACGATCTTACGTCTCTCCTACGACCCATTCCATCATTCAAATCCAGTCTACAGCACTCACTACCACAACGACGATTGGTAATGAGAGCAGCAACAAAAGCAGCGGCTGTAGCGATCCCGGTCCTGTTAACTACTATCCAAGCAGCGCCCGTAGCCATCCCAGAAGTACCTCTGGGTATCAACCTCCCTACTCATCCTTCTTCTTCATCTTCAGCATCGACATCAACTTCAACCCCGACCAAGAAATCAAGCAAATCGCCACATATCGCCTCTCCTACACCTTCTCCTGAAGAAAGTCCATCTTCCGGGATCCATTCACCTCAAGCCACGGACGCCCCAGGCTTGAATGACTCTCCTCCTTCTGCAGGTAACTCGTATGCTACTTCACAAGCACGCGTGGGCGCCGGGGCTACTCCCTCAGGCGCATCGTCCTATTACGACCCATTGGCGACCGTACCAGGTCTATTCGGTGACCCATCTTCAGGTCCAGGGACACAAAACGGCATTGTACCCCCCAACAACGATCCTAATGACACTTCCCCGTCAACGGCCAGGAACAACATGTCATCCGCAATAACGACATCCGCCTCCCTCGGGTGCATCGCCGCCATGGCTGTTCTAGTCGTAGGAGCACTGGTGGTTCGAAAGAGGATTAGGAACCGACGCCGATCGCAGGAGAAGATGGATTTCGCGGGTCTTGGCGCGTATCCCAGTGGGGCTATTGCTGGAGGAGGAGGAGGAGGGGGAAAGGTGAAGGGGAAGAAGAGGCAGCAGAAGACGGACTGTCATGTTGGGTTGACGAGTTTTGGGTCAACTATTTCTTCAGTAGGAGGGGGAGGGATGGTGATGACGGGGATTAAGAAGCCTGCGCCGTTGGCGCAGCGAGAGCAGTTCTGGAACCCTTAAAGCTTTGTATGAGTTTTATGATAATGCCCAAGAAGAAGCTGGGGGGAGATATAATAAAAGTAAATAACAATAATGTACGCGCCTTTTTTTTTAGTGTTTTATGTGTTATGGAGGGGAAAAAGGACAAGATAAAGCAAGAAGAGAAGAAAGAAAAAGAAAAGCAGACGCTAGACCATAGATGGGCGGAAAAACGGGAGAGAAGGAGAGATGGGGATAGGGGGGGGTGGGGTCGACAGGATGTTGATGGCTAGTGAAGTGTGTGTTTTGTTGTTTGATAATCGAACCGCGTGTCGTGTTGTGTTTGTTGCCTCGTGGATGCGAGACATGGGAACAGAGCAAAGTGGTGAGAGACACGAATAGATTGCCCTCGTGGGACAGAAGGAAACGATTCTAAGCCACCCAGTGCGTGTGTGTGAACGAAGACCAAAGACAAATGGGCCGCCCGTCGCTCCTTTTGTACCTGTCTGTGTCTGCACACGCTCACACGCACAGAGTGACTGACCCTTGAATAATATATGTTGCCCTTTTATTTTCTTCTTTCTTACCTTTACAACAGCGCACCATCTCCTGCTTCACAATCACCCCCTTCTCCTTCTCTTCTTCTCCCCACTCACTCACCTCCTAACCAACCCCCCCTCTCTCTCTCTCCACTCCCCACTCAAGCATTCTTCTCTCCGCTCTCCACAGTTACTCACACAACCTACAACTAGCTCCGGAGGGGACAACCAAAAAAAAGTAACCTAATCAAAAAAAACGTCCAACCATTCCATGGAAGACCCCATCCCTGACAACTCCCTCTCGACCCTCCTTTCCTCGTCTTCTCATCATCACCCCTCCTTCCACCACACTCCCCACTCCTCCTCCGAGCAGCAACACTCCAACAAAAACCGCAGGTCGCTTCGTCAGGATACAATGGCTTCCACTACTACCACCACACCGACGGAACCAACGGACACGGATATCAACCCCGATACTAGTACTCCCACCGCCAGCAGCTCGACAGGGACGGTTAAGCAATCAGTCACTCCTTCTACTGGAGGAGGAGCGATTGCTTCCCAACAGGTTGATGGTCAGGCAGAGTCGAACGGACATGGTCACCACCGTAGGCGCAAGGCTCAATTCGAGGTCGGAGACGATATCGTCCAAGTAGAGGCAGAGGAGGATAATAATCAGGTCAGAGATAGCTCCAACAACAACTATCACCGACAGCAACATCAAGAGCTAACAGCCGATCCGGAGACCGCAGGAGAAGAGACCGAGGGTGATGACGAAGCGGAACAAGTTGCCATCTATCATCGCCAGCAGCAGCAGCAACATCAACGCCAGCCTTCCCGTGGCTCTCAAGGTCACGACAGTCAACACCATGCAGCATCAACAGCAGCTCCGACGTCATCGTCCACTGCTGCCTCAGCTGCTGTCCCTGTAGCAGTTGCTTCCAACGCTGATTCGAGAGACGAGAGCGGAGCAAGAGGTTTAGACCGACATGGACTTGCGGCAGCATCTAGCAGGGAGGAAGAGTTGCTCGCAAAGACTTTGATTGACTCTACTATGGCACAAACGATTCAAGACCTCTCTCTCCAAGCTGCCGGACAGGGCTCATCGACCGTTATCGTGGAGGAGGCTCATCAGGAGCAGGAGCAGCGACAGCCTCAACAGCAGCAGGAACCAACAAGAGTCCGGGAACGGAGTCGGTCGAACCAAAGTCAAGGGGAGTCAAGACAGAGTGGATCAACCCGACATCAGGAACAGCAGCAAGCTGCAGCAACAGACGGACAGTCCAGTGATCGCCAGCCAATATCACAGTCGACCCATACTAGTACGAGTGAGCGCCGAGGTCATGCGTTGGAAAAGAGCAAGAGCAACCCTCCCGAGGTAGTATCGAACGGCATTGGCAGCGGCGGCGAGGGATCACATTCTCACACGACACATAAGGGTTCAGCTAGCATCCACGAGTCGCAAAACCTATCCGAGTCGCCCAAACCTAGACACCGTGCCCTCTCGAGGACCTCGCCAAAGTCCAAGCGCATGTCCATGCTTCTCGACCCAAGCTCCTCGACAACCACACTTCCTTCCCTTACAAAAGTCACAACCCACACTGTCATGGCCATCCCCCCTAAACAAGGTGCTGTTTCAGGAGACGCCTCCCCCTCGACTGTTTCGTCTGAGAGTTCTCGTGCTCAAGGAGGCCAGAGTGCGTCTGGAAAGCTGTCGGCATCTTCACCCACGTTGCAGCCCTCCCCGGCAGTAGAGCTGGTTTCCAAATTCCTCACTGGAGCTAATGCTGCCACGTCGTCCTCCCACGCAGCCAACGAGGATGACCATCACCACCCCCAGACAGGTTCACCCGGCCAGATTCGACGGTCACCCAAGAGTTTACATGATAAATCGAACGCTACCTCACCCCAACAGCGCACCGGCTACACCTCCAAGTTTTACCCTGTCTCACCCTCCCAACCTCAATTGAGTTCGTCAGCACCGAAATCGACCACCACCTCCAAGAATTTGATACCCCCAACGATTGTGACGACTTCATCCTCGGACGAGAACTTGCCCGACATGTCTTCTGCTACCCCTGCCCCTGCATCGGCCACGGGACAGACCACAGGACCGTTTTTGACTGGGCTGGGCCCAGCCGCGACGGCATCTGCGATTGCAGCAGCTGCAGTGGCACAATCAAACATGGCTGGTGGTGGGTCCAAGACAGGAACACTCTCTCGAACTCAGCAAAAGTTGTGGTTGCAGAGAGAGAATTTGCAGGATGTGGATGAGGACGAGATGGTTCGCCGCGGGAGGATGCAGAAGGAGATGGACCGGATTCAGCGCGAGTACAAGTGTGTTCGGACGACGCTTGATCCTTCGATGGAGAGTCTTTTGAGGTGTCTGGCGCGGAGTGGCAAGTCGCCCTTACAGTTCCAACAGCAGGTGGCAGCAGCAGCAGCAGCGGCGGCGTCGGCATCGGCGTCGGCGGCCAACAAGGCCTCGGTCTCTCAACCCCAGTCTCCACACCCTTCGTCTCAGGGACAATCTCCTGTGCTGGACCAGCAACAGCATCGACCACTGCAGCATCACCGTTCTCTTCAACAGCTGAGTGGTCAACAGGGACAGCAGCAACAGCAGCAGCGAATGCAACAGTTACAGAAGCAGCAGCAGGGGCAGGTTGGGTTAGGGCTACAGAACGGTCCTGGAGGTGCTGGTCCTGCAGGTGGGGACTCTGGCAAGATGACGCTTCGACAAATTCATCAGTTGCAGCAGTTGCACCACCAGCAGCAACAACAGCAACAACAACAGCAGCAGCAACCACAAAACCATCGTCAACAGCACCATGGGTAACTCCCCACCGTGGATAAAGTTTATTTCAGCGCTAAATAAAAAATATATATATAAAAAATACAACCTCATACAACTGCAACAAAGGAAGCGAACGAAGAAATGATGTGCGAATGGGAGGAAGGGACGACGACGACGAAAGTGAGTTTTTGGCCAGTGTGAACGAGAATTGAGTAGAGACAATGGGAAAAGAAGGGGGGCTAGTTCGATGAGAGGGGTTGAGTGAAGGAAGGGCGGGAGGGAAGCGAGTCATTGGGTCGAGTATAGGAAGGGAGGAAAGAGTGTATCTCCCGCGACATTGCCAGGGGGGGATTGGTCTATGCTGATGATCTTATGTGATGCTGTGTATGTGGCAAGCAAGGGATGCGCTACCTTTTGGTTTTGACGACGACGACGGAAGAAAGGTGAAAAGCATTCCTAGCCAACAAAGGGGCGAGGAGGCGTAAATGAAGACGAGCAAAAAGACAAATGATAGAAAGGGAGATGGAAGGAAGGAAGGAAGGGTGATGTTCAACATAGCCCATGGCTATCGCCCCTGATCTGCACCTTTCTTTTTTTTTTTTTTTTTCTTTTCTCTTTATCCATTGTCTATCTTCTTCCTTTTGTCAACTTTCTCTGCACGCTTTCCTTTTGAAGTTCACCTCGCCAATATATGCCCCTCCCCGTCCTTACTATTTCCTCTTTTTATCTTTTACAATCTATACCTTCCTTCTATCCGTTCATATTCATTCTCGCCCCTCCTTCTCTCGGAAGTTGGTTCCACCATTACATTCCTCCAAGACTCCAAACCACGACAGAGCAGACAACAACAGCAACCACAGGCAGTCTTCAACGAATAACAAAAACAGCACGCCAAGCAATACCAACACCTCTCACACCTCGCCAACTACAACAAGGACAAGAAGTCAATCATGCATAGCATCAAGCGTTCACCGATCCTGAAGCTCGTCGCGGCGGTGGCTATCAATGTCGGGTTTGTGTTGATCTGTCAACAGTACTGGAGGGTCACTGACGATAATAATAATGGGGTTGCTACTGGAGGTGCTGGGGCTGGATTGGGGTCGATGCCAGAACAGGTTCTTGTGCAACAGCATGTTTACCAGCAGCCGCAGGAGCAGAATCCATTGAACCATCAGTATGCTGCTGGTGTTGATGAGACGCCTTTGCGGACTTTTGAAGTATGACTTTTTTTTTTATTTGTTTGTGCTATGCCTGGAGGAAACTTTCAATCGTCCTAACGCACACACCACTTTTCTATTTACGATTTAATATAAAAACAAAAAAGGTACCAGAAGAGCTGTATTTGACGCACGATGTGGCGATCCCATACGACATCCCGGCCTGGACGGCGGCCGACTCTGCAGCGTTGCGCACAGCAATAGGCTACGACATGATGAGCGACCTCCTCAAACCCGAATACAGCGTCCACGAACAAGTCACCGAAAAGTCCCAACTCGATTTCGCCCGTACCAGCCGCGCCGAACGCATCTACAAATCCCTCTGGAATTTCCTCCGACCTGTCTATAACTCCCTCCCTGGAGAGGATTCCAGAGAGAAGGAACGCGTCTTTGTGAAGGAATTAGCACTCAAGCGTGTAGATGTCGATTTCTTTCTCCGGTTGGAGAAGCGGTTGTACCCGTTCCTGCACCTCAAACACCGGACTAGTTTCTCGTTGCAAGATTCATACAAGGGTAGAGGGATCGTATTGTGTGCGGGGAATAACCAGTTCAAGTTTATTGTGTCGTCGATCCAGGCCATTCGGAGGTTACAACCGGACTTGCCGATTCAGTTGTTCCATATGGGCGATGAGGATCTTTCGAAGGAGCGGCAGGAGTATGTGAGGGAGATGACGAATGATATTGAGGTGTTGGATATCACAGAGTTTTTGGATAATGATTATATGAAGCTGGGTGGGTGGTCGATAAAGGCGTTCTCGTTGTTGGCTTCGAGGTTTGAGGAAGCCATGCTCGTTGATTCTGACGCCTACTTTCTGCAGGTTGGTAGATTTGACTTCTTGTTGTATTGTACGCATTCTTCAGTTCGCCCTTCCCCCCTTCCCCCCCTTATTTTCACTCACCCCCCTTTTTTTTCCACATGCAAAAAACGATCAAACACAGGACCCAGCAAAGCTGTTTGAGGATCCGGGATACAAGGCAACGGGAGGCTTATTCTTCTACGACAGAACCCTCTTTCCCGACTGGCACACTGGCCCAGACTGGATCCGCTCTATGATGCCCATCATGTCGACCCTCCCCAACCAACTCCGGTCCTTCAAGGGTATCAGCACACATGAGCAGGAATCCGGTGTCGTCGTCATCAACAAGAAGACTCGTCTGAATGGACTCTTGGCGATCTGCAAGATGAACAGCAAATGGGAACGGGATCTGTTTAGTTATAAGATGTTTTATGGGGACAAGGAGACGTTCTGGGTCGGGTTTGAGATGGTCCAGGAGCCGTATTCGTTCATGAGGACGTATGGTAGTGTTGTAGGCGAGTTGAGGGATGATCCGGTCAAGGAGATTGAGAAGCTGGAGGCGCGTCTGGAACAGGAAGATGATGGAAGGAGTGCGGAGGAGAGGCAGATGGATAGGATTGAGATCGAGCACCAGAAGAAGCGACCCGTCCTCGAGAAGGAGTCTGTTTGCGGAGCCCAACTGCATCTCGATCACCTCGGCCAACCCATGTGGTGGAACGGTGGGTTGATGAGGAATAAGAACGAGGGTGTCCAACGGATTCTGGATTTCAAGTACTGGATGGCCGGTGGAGGGATGTCGTCGCACAGAGAGAGGAATGTGAGGGACAAGGAGTTGCAGCGAGAGTTGCTTTGGGATTTGGGGAAGGCGAGTATGGATGAGGTTGAGAGGGAGGAGGAGGATCCGGAGTGGATCTTTCATGAGAGTTGTATGTATGGTGGGGAGGTCCATTTGTTGGAGGAAGGGAAGAGGAGGTTGACGGAGAGTTTTGTGGCGATGGATCGGGTTGGGAAAGAGGATGAGGTGAGGATCCGGGCTGGGGAGGGAGTTGATCCCAAGGAGCATGACTGGACTTCTATGTAGTTCTTGTCTTCTTTTTATTTTCTTCACACCAGTTGTGATTTTCGTTTCAATAGAATCGTTAAATTTATTGTTTTGGGTCTCGTGGTTGATTGATTGTGGGTGGTGCATGGACCCGGACGATCTAATTGAACATTACGTCAAAGGTCAATCTTTGGTGCGGTCAGGGTCAGTCATGCTCAGGGTCAGGCCTCGCTTTTTTTTATTCTTCAGAGTACTACCGATACAAGTTCTTTTGTTCTTTTCTTCTCCTTCTTTATATTCTCACAACTCACACACACTCCCCCTTCTTACATGGAGACAACCCTACACTCTTCATTCACTCTACTCATTCACCACAACCAAAACACACTCACACCTCCTTAATACAGCCACCTCACCTCATGGCAACGCCCCAGCACACAAAGAGTCGGAGTACATCCTTCGGCCCCTCAGAGCAAGACGCGCTCCTGCACCGTCCTTCTACAAGGGCACCTACAGCGATTGCAACCCCGAGACCAACACACCTGTTACATCGACGGCGCTCGTCCAACTTTAAACGATGGTTGTCTACCCTCGATATCGCACGACTGACCGTGTGTATGCTTGGTGTACAATTCACATGTAAGTTGTTTTTTTGCTGATGTGGTGGTTGGTGGCACTTACTTTCCCACACATCATATTACAAACATGCCTACCTCAACCTCGAATGAGAAGGCAATAGCTGAAGCAGTAAACAGCAGGATGAGAGGGGTTATCCTCATCCTTGTTTTTGTCTGTTTTGTTTGTAACTTTTACATTCTCCACAAATAATAATAATTGTGTCATCATCAGCGAAATCTTCTCACACTTTGCTCTCTCTGTTTTTCACCCCTCTTCCCGCTCACCCATCTCCCTTCAATAGGGACGGTAGAGTTAGGGTATGGAACACCCTACCTCCTCTCACTCGGGATCCCAAAGACACTCACCCCACTCGTCTGGCTCGCAGGCCCCCTCTCTGGTCTAATTATCCAGCCCGTCGTCGGTGTGTTTAGTGATTCTTTGGATTGGAAACTTGGCAGGAGACGACCCTTTATTTTGATTGGGGCTGTGCTCACGGTCTGTTCGATGTATATGGTCGCGTATGCTAAGGAGATTGCTCAAGCTTTTGTTGGAACTGGAGGTGAAGGTGGGAGAGCCACCGTGGACGATGGTGCTGATGTTGAGAGCGCAGTAAGTCTTCCTTGCTGTTTATTGATTAGGCCTTCTTGGACAAGTTCATTCGGCGATGGATGTGCTGAAAAGTGACACTGCACTTACTTATCTCCCTTTCTTCCTCCCATCATGATGAATTCCCGATAGGTCAAGGCTTGGACAATCGCACTGGCTGTCATCGGGTTCTACTGTTTGGACTTTTCGATCAACGCCGTACAAGCGAGTTGTCGCTCCCTCATCATGGACATCCCACCAACAGACCAACAGGAGGTCGGAAATGCCTGGTCGGGATGGATGAACAACCTGGGTTCTGTGGTCGGCTTTTTTGCAGGCAACCTGGATCTGGCCAAGTACTTTGCTCCAGTCTTGGGCGACACACAGATCAAGATTTTGGCCAACCTGGCAATGATCTTCTTCATCTCGTGTTTGAGTATTAGTTGTCTGAGCGTCAAGGAAGTTCCCTACAAGCCTAATGAGGATGACAAGAAGCGGTAAGCGGTACTTCTGGAAGTACACGAATGCTTTTATGACCCTGGTGATAATTGTCGCCTTCCCAGGATACTAACCTTACATCTATGACGATAGGTCGATGTGGAGTACGATCGGGAACATTTGGAGGGCATTCAGGACGCTGCCAGGCGAGATCCAGCGGATCTGTAATGTGCAATTTTTCGCATGGATGGGTTGGTTCCCATTCCTCTTTTACTCCACAACATGGGTGGGCGAGATCATTCATCGATATGACAACAGCCATGACGGTGAGGGTGGGAACCCAAGCTACCCTGGAGACGACCCGACAGTGACGGAGCGGGCTGGATCGTTTGCTCTACTTTGCTGGGCGGGCGTCGCTGTCCTTTCGGGCATTCTGATCCCAAAGCTGACCCCACAGGAGATTGGGCAAGAACGGTGGCCAAAGAACCCATTCACGCTCAAGAACCTTTGGACTATGTCGTTGGTTTGGTTTGCGGTCTGTATGGGAGCTACATGGTTCGTGGATGATTTGTGGGCTGCGACTGCTGTGATCGCGCTGTGCGGAGTTCCCTGGGCTGTGGCCATGTGGGTTCCCTTTGCGATGGTTGGCGAGATCATTAGTGACATGAAAGACCGGATCATGGAGCAGGAGGCTGAAGACGAGGAGGAGGAAGATGTTCTGGCTGTTGATGGTGGCGAGGGTAGTGGATATGGCGCTGTGATTCAAGGAGGCCGCTTTGGAAGCCATGATAGTAATGAGGAGCATGAACGCAGTAGCAATCCGGATACTGTTCAAGAAGACGAGAACGGGAACAGCAGCAGTCGAGGTAATGGTGGAGGTGGGTCGCTACTCACTGCGACGGATGACATGGACACCGAGGAGACTCAGCGGAAACAAACCCACCCGCTACCACGCCAACGACAGAAGGGTCCTCAACTCGACGCAGGATTGGTTCTGGGTGTCCACAACATGTACATTGTGTTCCCGCAGTTCGTGGACGCGATCATTGCGAGCTGTTTGTTTGCAGTGATAGGCAATGCTGCTCGTCCAGACCAACCGACAGAACCAAGGCTCCCTCCACCTACTACGCCACCACCGCCTGGAAGTGGGGATCTGGGATGGATGAACTGGGCGACTGCGATGGACCCTGAGCCAGTGGGGTGGGTGCTGAGATTCGGAGGTATTATGGCTATTGTTGCTGCGTACCTCAGCCGGCGCCTCTAATGTTCTGTCTTTTTTTTTCAGACTACTCGGTGCACTCAATAAAGCATGATTCAATCACATACAAAATTGGAGCTTGTATTTGTTCTCCTTCCCCTCTGCGACTTGGTCGAAACAAGTCAAAGAATGAAACAATGTCCAAGACACATCTCCTGAGTCTGCGTGCGTTGGTCCTTCTCACGCTCTCTACTCTTCGCCCAAGCCTGATTTTCGTGTTTAGACGGCTTTCCTAGTCAAACATATTTGTTTCTTTCGCGAACCTGAGGTGTTTTGCCCACTCATTTTCATGTCAACTCCAGTCCTTGGCGGAGAAGGCGAAGGCGCGAGTAAAAAAAAACATAAGCATGCTCTTACTATACTGGTATCCAAGAAGGACATAACGCACACAAAAAAATAGTTTGATATGGGAGCTCGTATTACGTTTCCCACGGCCGAGGAGTATGAGGGTCGCGATGTCAAGAGCCTCCCCCACACCTTGGAAACCCTCAAGTAGAAATTGTTGGACTTTTATCACTATCTCAACAATCAGAACAAGAATCTCCCCGTTCAGGTTTTCATAGCATTTCCTTTGGACCGGCAATAGGAACCCACCTTGAAAAAGTCTACTCTTCAAGCGATGCTCGAAGCGAGAATAAAAGATACGCGCTGCAGTCAAGTAGTCCCCTACTGGCGCTCATTACTTCGCCAACCGCAAGTGTTATGAATAGGTGTGAATCCAACTACAGGACTGATTCAATTCCTTTCTTGGCCCTGCTCAGGCTTAATAAATGATACTCAAGGACAAGGGCATAATAAGACTCAACTTTTTACTTGTTACTACTCTTCGTCTACTACCTATTCTTCTCACAAGAACATGGTGGTCCAGCAGGTCCTCCATTACTGGTTGCAGGATCGACGACAATCGAAAGTTCCCGTGAATGGAAAAAATGCCGAAGGAGGCCGGGCGTACCGCATGTATGGTTCTTCGCGATCCTGAAGGACGAATCGGGAGGTACGGCTTCCGAGGCACCTCTATAATTTTCGGCCTAGTTTGACTCGCTCAAAGAATAGCATGCTTTTGTCGTATTGTCAGTTTTACGGGGAGGCTGGATCAGTGGACTTGGATGCGATCGAACCCGATCTCTAGAGTGTACCTGAAGGATTTGTCTTACACCACACTGCTTTCTAAATGTGGAGCCAAAGCTTTCAAGGGGTGTAGCGTGTCCGATTTGTTTTACATTAACGCCTCTGGCAAATCTCTCACCATGGCCAAGACAATGCCCGTTACTTCCTATCTATATCCTTCATTATTAATGACTGAATTAGTTGAATAGTTTGCGCGTGTTTTTCACCTATTCAACTCTTGTAGGCATTCGTTATATACCCTTCTGGACAATACAGACGAATTTAAGGGACGCCGCTGGTAAGTGTAGTCGGCGGCAATGGTAGATAGGCATGGTTGACCATGGTTCGCGTCAAGACTAGACTGTACTCGCGGTAAGGATAGTGTTTATTCTTTTCTAGCCAATTTTTCTTTACAATATCCCTCCATGTGTGTACTCAGTTATCCATTTCAATTGACGGAGGAAGGGATTGAACGTTTCGATGGGCGTGCGCATTTCTTTATTCTCGTATTCAATCAAATTTTGGTAGGCCATTCATTCTACTATGCCAAAAGACTAAAGGGAGCGACCGCTGGCTTTCAATCGCGCAAGGAGAAAGGGAGAGAGGGAGAGGAGAGGGAAGACGACAAAAACAAAAACAAAAAGCCTATACCAACAGGATTGCTATCCTTCTACAATCGCTTTTTTTTTTTTTCTTCCCTCAGCAAGTCATCTCAGTTATTTCCCTCCTCTTCCTTAACCTGGGTTGAAAATCAATTTCCTTATGCTCCCTCATTAATATGTATGCATGACGTTTTCTTTTTCCGTTGAGCAGGGTACCTCACCGCAGTGACCTTCCAATCCTTATCCCAAACGCCCCTTTGCTCTTCCTTCTGCTCCTTCCTTCTCTCTCTTCACCTTCTCCCTCTTCACCTTTTCCTTCACCTTCTCCTTCACCTTGTCCTTCTTCACCTTACTTCCGTCAATACGCCTTATCCGCGTACAATTAGCCTCTCCCACTTCTCTCCTTCAACTACTCACCTATTCAATCTCCACTCCACTCACGTTCTAGCATGGAGCATCACTCAAACTGTCTTCACCCTGCGCTGATCAAGTCATTTGCCAGTGTCGGTCGGCTCATTCACCACATCGTGTGTCACCGCCTCATTCATACTCGGCAGGATTACTCGTGCACAAGCCATTGGGCAATTAAGGAAGGTACACCTTCGATATGATCGCTCTCCTTTGTCACAATCATATCGGCCGTCAACAGGATGTGGTCGTCTGAGTAGCACCACCGTCTCAGCCCTCGATGACGGTGTTCGCGTCTTCTTCATTACTTCTCAAGGTATCCTGAGTGTCAATTGCACTGTTGATGCCTCTTGGTACTCTGTTATGGGAGTGAAGACGGTATAGTCACTGCTGGCTCTTTAACCTGCTGGATGTGCCTCTTCAGAAGGATTTTACATTTAATTGCACTACCTTACTCAGTATCCCTGCATCAATCTGCTTGGACCTTGGGGGGATTCCAGATTGTCCAAACTGTCGACAAAATGCGAATACCCTGGGACTCGAGGGCACGGTTGAGGGTTTGGTGGTTTCTTCTTGGTCTAACACTACCTGGGAATGGTCGATATGGTTGTGGGATAGGAGAGCATTTATGTAGTTGGTTAGTGGCTTCGGTGTTTTCTGACCACTTTTTTGTCTCTCTCTCTCTCTTTTTTGTTTCTTTCTCTCTCGAACTAGGACCGCACAACAGGATAAAGGACACTGACAGGACAAAGGACGCTGACCAGACAATTGGCGAGCAAGCAGGGACATGAGCAAGAACTGTCCATTCTCGACGTGATCATTCCCCATTGCTAATACTCAATCGGGTATCAACAAGGTCAAATAGAAGCATTATTATCGTGTGGGCTACATGGCGCTGATGGCAAGAGGAAGGACTAATGGCAAGAGGAAGAGCTGATGGCAAGAGGAAGGACTAATGGCAAGAGGAAGAGCTGATGGCAAGAGGGAGGACTAATGGCAAGAGGAAGAGCTGAAGGCAACGAAGCAGTGGGCACGGGAGACCCCTGCCTTTGTTTTCTCGCGCGACAATTGCAGTCCGGAGAGGTGTGTGCGTGTGTGTTTTTTGGCTATTGAGTGCGGCATTCAAAAAAAAAAAAAAAAACTGAACATAGGAATATTCCTTTGAACATCAAGTGACTATCTCTCTCTCTTTGCACTTTTCAGGAGAAGGCATCTCATTGTTTTCCATAGATAATAAAATATAGGTATTTCCTACTCAAAGGGTATGACAAGAAGCACCGCTACTTTTAATCTAGCAACATATTTGAAGAATAGATCAACCGGATGCGCTGGTCTTAATGGATGAACAGGCGATGGGCCTTTTTAAATACGTCTCAGATCGTTTTCAAGTCCTGTCAAAAGCAGTGGTCGAAAATCGAGTTTTCTCTCCTAATGCCATTACCTGATAAAGTTGAATGGGAGCCTTTTCTACACGTCACTTAGGTTCAATTGAAGGCACGTCCTCGTGGAAATAAACGAGCTCCTTCTTCAGGGGTGTCTTTCCTAGTTTGCGGTGAATCAGGTGGGTCGTTGGTCCTTGGCCATCGTCCTTCTGTTGCTGACATAAAAAACAGCAAGTGAGTGTGGACGATGTAAGCATTATTCCTTTTGGTTCGAGTGCGATCAAGGAATAGACATGTTGACTGAAATACAATGAATGTTAATCTTACTTCTGCTGTCTCTTTGATATACGTATAGTTCATGAACCAATTGGATATGACGGGGAAGGGGATGGTTGCCCTTTCAAAGATCCATCAGGACCAGCAAGAAAAAAAAGCCATCCCCATCCGCTATTTCAAGGACCGGAATGCGACCTGTGTTGGCCTTGACCTGGATGGCAAGATGTCGTACTCTCACTCTCAAATGTCAGGCAGAGGCTGCAAGGGAAGATTTCCTCAATATATCGTCGCATGGCTCATTCAAAAACCAACATTGATCCTTCAGATCGAGTAAATGGCCGCGTTTCAAGTTTTGAAGGCACCGTCTATGTCCGCGCCTTAGGGTTGGTTCACCGGGATATCAAGCCATTCCAACCGCTCCTGGCTGAACCTGGGATCAAAATCAGCGACGGTGGCGACGTCTCTAGATCTGATACCGTCAGCAGCGGCAACAGCGACGTTAGCGACGACAATCATAGCAAGGCCATCACGACTAAGGAGATATCCCTCCTCATAATTATCCATCCCCGTACAGGTGTCATCTACAAGGAGACTAGTTCTCCCAGTCAGGTATGCACCCAATTGACCAATGTGCTAGAGACGTTACTGAATCATGCTAATGTTTACTGTCTCTGTGTCAGCATTGTCTCCTCTTTGTTTTACTTGTAAGGTGAATATAGGTCCGTTACCAAAGTAATTGACAGCAACAAGTGTAGATATGACATGGCTATCCCCAAAACTAGAAGAAATACTTTTCAATCGGTGAAAGCAAATTGAGGCAGACTGAACAACTATGTACAGCGAACGAGTTACTAATCATATCTCGACATCGAGTTGTTTCTTATAGATCAAATGGAAGCAGGCTGGTGACAAGATTCACCAAAATCCCTACCCCAACCTCGCTAGATCCATCACTTATTTCGATGACAGAGCGTAAGGCATGGAAATATGCCAAGAGAGGGTAAGATTAACATGCAATCGTGGGTGCTATTTACTTTAAAGAAGACGCCTTTGCTTTTTGCTAACTGCATCAGTAATGAACTAAGGGTTCACGATCAGAGGCCTTGTCAAGGCACGGAGACGACTCATGGAACGCTCAAACCACCACTTGGGACAGCTAATTGGCAGCGAGTCTTGTGCTCCTGCACCGAATTCACCTTGACCACGTCTATCTCAAGCCAGAGAACGTCATGCCCAGTAACGGCTTTCATGCCAAAGATTGGCAACCCGGGCTTGGTCGAGAATTTGTCGAGTGGAAAGAAAATCGGGCAAGTAGTACTGTTCTTGGTTTTCATATCACTGCTCCTTGAGAAAAATAATTAACTGGACACTTACGTAGGCGAATGCTTCCTTTTGGTTTAATCCTAGTGGACTTATGGGGAAATGGGCTACCAAGCTCTTAAGTTGTTCGATCAAAAGAAAATGCATAGTACGGCGGTGGATACGTGGTGTGAAGACGCCGTCCTTTACAAAAGGTTGATTGGCCGGTCCTACAAGCCTTCGCAGGACAAGGCCACAAAGAAGCACAAGAATCAGGGTATCAGTAGACCCAAGCGCCCAAGTATCAGCGGAAAAAGGTAAAGGGACTACAGGAGTGAGCATCGGACAACAGCCCCAAGACAAAACGTCATATGGGCGAGTTTGCGGCACAATGCGTCCTCCATTGTTATTGACAGCGACTCGAAAACGACCTGAGACTTATTTCAAAAGCCCATTGCATTCAAATATCTTTGTTAGATGAAAAGTAGCAGTAGTTCTTGTCACACTCTTTGAAAGAGCAACGGAGAGTAGGAAATACATATATTTTATTATCTATGGAAAACACTGACATGCTTCCGCCTGAAAAGTACAAAGAGAGACAGATAGAGTCATTTGATGTCCAGAGGGACTCCAAGGTCCAGTTCTCCTTGAGTCCCGCCCTCGATAGCCAAGAACACACACGTACCTCTCCAGGCTGTTATTGTCGCACGAGAAGACGAAGGCAGGGGTCTCCCATTCCTACTGCCTCGTTGCCATCAGCTCCTCTTGCCATTAGTCCTTCTTCCTGCCATCAGCTCTTTCTCCTACCATTAGGCCTTCCTTTCGCTATCAGCGCCATGCAGCCCACCCGATAACTATGCTTTTATTTGACCTTGTTGATACTCGACTGAGTATTGGCAATGGGGAATGATCACGTCGAGAATGGACAGTTCTTGCTCATGTCCTTGCTTGCTCATCAATTGTCTGGTCAGCGTCCTTTGTCCTGTCAATGCCCTTTATCCTGTTGTTCGCTCCTATTGTGAGAAAGAAAGAAACAAAAAAAAGAGAGAGAGAGACAAAAAAGTGGTCAGAAAACACCGAAGCCACTAACCAACTACATAAATATTCTCCCATCCCACAACCATATCGACCACTCCCAGGTAGTGTTAGACCAAGAAGAACCACAGAGCCCTCAACCGTACCCTCGGGTCGCAAGACATTCTCATTTTGTCAACAGTTTGGGTATTCAGCAATCCCCGCCAGGTCCAAGCAGATTGATGCAGGGATACTGAGTAAAGTAGTGCAATTAAATGTAAAATCCTACTGAAGAGGCACATTCAGTAGGTTAAAGAACCAGCAGTGACTATGCCGCCTTCATTCCCATAACAGAGCATCAAGAAGCTATACTCGCGATACCCTGAGAAGTAATGAAAGAGATGGAACGCAAGTCATCGAGGGCTGAGACGGTGGTGCTACTCAGACGACCACATCCTGTTGACAGCCGATATAATTGTGACAAAGGAGAACGATTACATCGAGAGTGTACCTTCCTCAATTGTCCATTGGCTTGTGCACGAGAACCTTAAATCCCGCCGAGGATGAATGAGTCGACCGAGTTTGGTGAATGACTTGATAAGTGCAGGGTGAAGATTGTCCGAGTGATGCTCCATGCTAGAAGAATGTGAGTTGAGTGGACTTGATTAGGTGAGTAATGGAAGGAGAGAGGTGGGAGAGGTCATTTGAACGCGGATGAGGTGTATTGAGGAAAGGAAGGTGAAGGGAGGTGAAGAGGGATAAGGTGAAGGGGAGCAGAGGGAAGAGCAAAGGGAAGAGCGGAGGGAGGCGTTGAGGATGAGAAGGGATTGTCGTCATGGTCACTTATGGTGTGAAGGGAACCCTGTTAAACGAAAAAAAGAAAAAACGTCATGCAAACCTGGAGGCGACATACCTTCTTACGCCTCCCTCTGCTTTTCCCTTTCTCTTCCCTCTGCTCCTCTTTACCTTCTCCCCCTTCACTTTATCCCTCTTCACCTCCCTCCATCTTTATTTCCTCAACTCGCCCAGTCAGCGTACAATTGGCCTCTACTTCTCTCCTTCAACTAATCACCTCACCTATTCAATCTCCACTCGACTCACGTTTCAGCATGGAGCCTCATTCGGAGAATCTTCACCCTGCGCTGATCAAGTCATTCACCAGAGTCAGTCGATGCATTCACCACACCGTGGTCACCGCTTCCTCATTCATACTCGGCAGGATTTAAGGTTCTCGTGCACAAGCCATTGCGCAACAAAGGAAGGTACACTCTCGATGTAATCGTCCTCCTTTGTCACAATCATATCGGCTGTCAACAGGATGTGGTCGTCTGAGTAGCACCACCGTCTCAGCCCTCGATGACTTGCATTCCATCTCTTTCATTACTTCTCAGGGTATCGCGAGTATAGCTTCTTGATGCTCTGTTATGGGAATGAAGGCATAGTCACTGCTGGTTCTTTAACCTACTGAATGTGCCTCTTCAGTAGGATTTTACATTTAATTGCACTACTTTACTCAGTATCCCTGCATCAATCTGCTTGGACCTGGCGGGGATTGCTGAATACCCAAACTGTTGACAAAATGAGAATGTCTTGCGACCCGAGGGTACGGTTGAGGGCTCTGTGGTTCTTCTTGGTCTAACACTACCTGGGAGTGGTCGATATGGTTGTGGGATGGGAGAATATTTATGTAGTTGGTTAGTGGCTTCGGTGTTTTCTGACCACTTTTTTGTCTCTCTCTCTCTTTTTTTTGTTTCTTTCTTTCTCACAATAGGAGCGAACAACAGGATAAAGGGCATTGACAGGACAAAGGACGCTGACCAGACAATTGATGAGCAAGCAAGGACATGAGCAAGAACTGTCCATTCTCGACGTGATCATTCCCCATTGCCAATACTCAGTCGAGTATCAACAAGGTCAAATAAAAGCATAGTTATCGGGTGGGCTGCATGGCGCTGATAGCAAGAGGAAGAACTAATGGTAAGAGGAAGAGCTGATGATAAGTGGAACGACTAATGGCAAGAGGAGCTGATGGCAACGAAGCAGTAGGAGCGGGAGACCCCTACCTTCGTCTTCTCGCGCGACAATAACAGTCTGGAGAGGTATGTGTGTGTTTTTGGCTATGGGGTGCGGCATTCCAGAAAAACTGGACATAGCAATGTCCCTTTGAACATCAAATGACTCTATTTCTCTCTTTGTACTTTCAGGAGAAGGCATGTCAGTGTTTCCCATAGATAATAAAATATGTATTTCCTACTCTCTGTTTTTCTTACGAAGGGTATGACAAGAAGCACCGCTACTTTAATCTAAGAAGATATTTGAACGAAGAACAGCTCAACCGGATGCGCTGGTATTATTGGGTGAACAGGAGATGAGCTTATGAAATACATGTCAGATCGCTTTTGAGGCGCTGTGGACAGCAGTAGAGGAAGTTTGGTCCCGCAATTTGCCTAGGGGTTTGTTGTCTGATGCTCATTCCAATATTTCTTGTCCTCCTTGGACAATCATCCGCTGATACTTGGATGAACCCTCCTCTTTCCTCTCGACACCACCACTGCCACCTCAAACAACTACACTCAATAAAACTAATGGTACTCTCTAATGCGACACAACAATGGTCGACTCTGTAGGTACTGATTGATTTTTCATCCGCGATGCATTCTTTTCTTTCAGATGGAAAGGATCACATCGTTTGCACCTTCATTTTCTTGTTGACCTTTTGAACGTATCACCTTTCATTTCTTTTGCAACTTGTCGCACCATGTCTCTTCTTTGTCTTGTTGACCTTTTGATCTTCTCAACATTTCGATTATTTGCGACTTGTCGCACCATGTCCATATGTACATACAACAACAACAACTTCAACTACCTCGTTTCTGATGATATAATACAATTTAATTAATACACATAATATACATAAAATACAAAGGTCATCGTACAGGGAGCGGAAGAGGCAGGGGAATCTCTGAAGGCACCCTTTACCGACGGAGGTAGGTGTGCCAGTAATCCTGGCCACCTCCATGACCTCCGTCCTTGTCCTCTGGTGCCTTCCCCTCCTTCACCGCTCCCTTCTGGATGGCCTTGGCCTTCTTGCGGCCCTTAGCTCTTTCCTCCTCCTCCTCATCATCTTCATCCGAGTCGTCCTCCCAGACCTTTTGGCTCTCTTGGCCTTCTTGGACTCCTCGACCTGTTCAAAGATGTCGTCGAGGTCAATGTCGTCAAGGTCGACGACTGGCTCTAAGGGCTCGGCCACCTGGAAGGTCTGGGCGGCCTCCTCCTGGGGCTGGGTCTCCTCCTCTTCCTCGTCCTTCTCCTTCTCCTCCTCGACGGAATCGCCAACCTGGGCTCCGATCTGCTCCTCCGGCGCCTTGGTACCCTCCTCTTCCTGCGACTTGATAACCTCAACCTGATAAGCGCCATCAAGGTCTGATGCGTCGTCCTCGGTTGGAAGCGGAGCAGCTGTGCGCAGAATGTCCCAGGAGACACTCTGCGGCACAGGCCCGTCGGTCAGGAAGGGGTGGGTGAGCAGATCGGCCATCGTGATCCGGCTCCCAGGGTCGCACTCGAGGGTTCTCTGGAGCAAGTCCCTGGCATTGGGACTCAAACCTCCGATATTCTTGAGAGGCTTCCTCTTGCTATCTGCCGTCTTGCCAGGGAGCTGGTACGTGGCACCAAGCAACATCCTGAAGAGGATGGCCCCGATGGCGAAGACATCCAGGGCGTAGGTGTGCCTCTCGCGATTGAGGACCTCGGGGGCCTGGAAGCCCGGAGTACCGACCACATTCCTAATGTGAGTAAGCAACAATACAGTTATGTTAGCAACATGTCCCATGTTTGAATTGAAGAGACCATTTTTGAGTTAAGAGAACATTTACTCGTACTTATCATAATCGTATCATCTTACCGGAACACCTTGCCCTCTTTCAGATCTTGCGCCTGACCGAAGTCGCCGACCTTCAATACCAGCTCCTCTGTCAGCAGAAGGTTAAGCGGCTTCAGGTCATTGTGGAACAGGTTCAAACTGTGAAGATGATCCACACCGGCCACCAGCTGCTGCCCGAAATAGCGGACTTCATGTTCCCGGAGACTTCCTCTGGCTTCCAACAAGGTGTCGACGGTCTAGATAGGCAATAGTATTTAAAAGGAGATAGGTGTCAGGGTTATTATCCTCGTCAATGTGTACATGGCAATCGCAGATGGATTCTAATCATTCTCTCCTACCTTGTTGGAGCACAGTTCCATCGTCAAACATGGAATCATTCCGTCCTTGAAAAAGCTGATGGGGGCAACGACATTGGGGTGGTGGGGCTGATGGTCGCGGATCGTCATGCATGCTCGCCACTCTCGTTCAACCTGGAAGGGAAGGTAAGAGCGCATTTGTGATTAAAACACGAGTCTCGACCCAGTCAAACGTCCATACATGCTTGGAGTAACAGAAATCAATACTCACATCCGCATTCGCGATGTCAAATATCTTGAAGGTCTTAATAGCGACCTTTTCGCCCTTCTCGTCGACAGCTACATGGACATGTCCGAATGAACCCTAAGCAGTCGAAACAAAAAATAGAGACAAGATCAGGATCAGGATTAGCGCTGCAGCTTTCGACTGGAGGATTGATATATGACAGCTGTGTGGGCCATTAATTAATACTTACTTCGCCCAGAAGATGGGTCTGTCGGTAGGTCTTGTTGGCGGCCTTGTCGATGATGGTCTTGAGAGGTGGTGGTGGGGTGCGCTGTCGTCTCGGCTGCCGTTGGACGACCTTCTCGCCGTAGTCGTCTTCTTCTCCGCTGCTGCCACCAGCACCACAACCGCCACTACCTTCGCCGTCGCTGCCACAGTCGTAGAGGCTTGGGAGGCCGGTGCTGTTGGGTGCTGGATGGTTGCCGTTGAGGGCCTTGTCGCTGCTGTGAGTGGTTTGGATAGAGCTGCTGGAGTTCATCGTAGTAAGTGACAAGGGGATATGACGAGTGAAAATGAAAATGAGGTCGAGAGGAAAGAAGAAAAAAAGTCGCTTTTGGGGGGGAGGTTATCCGTTTATACAGGAAAATGAATTATGAATGAATGAATTATGAATGAGCTGAGGCACTGGACATTCACTTGTTTGTCCTCCTTTGAACCTGAAATGGAAAACATCCCTCTGTCCCCTCTCTGTTTTCCGTTCAACGACAACAGCGGTGAAAGACACAGGACTACTCAAGAGGATAACCCTGCCGTTCACAAAAATGCCTCACCGCTACGTAAACAAAACCGAAGAAAACGGAACACCTTGACCGCACACTCGTTATTATTACTGACTGAATTAATTGTCTATTCTATGGGTGTTTTTCACTTATTCCACTATTGAAAAAATTCGCTGTAAACCCTTCTGGACAAGACAGACGAGCTCGAGGGATATTGCTGGAAAGTGTTGTCGACAGCAATGATGGACAGACATGGTTGCCTATGGTTCACGTCAAGACTAGACTGTACTCGCCGTAAGGATTGTGGTTATTCTTTTCTGCAACCGAATAAAACGTGTCTATCCCCTCCTCTGTTTTGGGCTTCAGGGACAGCCAAATTATCTTTATTATTTTCTCCTGTTGTTATTCATGCGAGTACCCAATTAACATTAACGTATTTTAATTGACGAGGAAGGGATTGAATGTTTCGATGGGCGAGGACATTTTATTTAATATGCCTAATATGCCAAAAGACTAAAGGGAGCGGCCCCTTCCATGTTCACACGACCGCTGGCTTTCAATCGAAGAAGTGGAGAGAGAGGGAGGAGGGGACAGAGGGACAGAGGGACAGAGGGACAGAGGGACAGAGGGGACAGAGGAAGAATGACGAAAACAAAACAAAAAAAAGCATATGTCAAAAACAACATTTTTGTCCTTCCACAATCACCTTTTTTTTTCATCCGCCCTTTGAATTGGATGTATTCTTAAAACTATTATCTTACCCACCCTTACTTTCGTATCCAAGCTGCAAGGCAACGGACGAGCCTTGCATAACCCCGATCTTTTTTAGAGAAGGATCTAGCAATGCGAGCCTGTGGTACTTCTATTTCTTTGACGATACTTCCTATCCCGATCTCCTTTCATTAATTATATCTCATCAATTACCTGTGGTTCCCTCATTGATACCTTAGCCCACAGATAATCTTCTTGGTTTCGTCTCATCTCTTCGCCCGAGAGTTTTAGAAGCAGCGGCGAAGTTTATTAGCTGTATTAGCTGTACAATTAATAGCTGTATTCATGAATTGATTCTTGGTGTTGCCAACACATTAGGCTGTCTGACTCCACTTTCTTTCTCTCCCTCCTTCTACAAGTCAGTGCGCTTTCCCTCCTCTTCCTTTGCAAGTCTAAAAGGGCGAGGCAAGAGACGTTGATCTCGAGTAAGTACCATATTTGGTTACGAGGCAGATAGAGGAGAAGGCCCGTACCAAGGCCCTGTGATCATTTCATGTTTATTTGTCTCTGGCACTGCGTTCCTGGTTCTCCCCTTGTTTTTGCCTAGCTTCCTTTTTGCTTCCATCGAGTATTTTGCCTCCATGTCTGCATGACGTTTTTCTTTTTTGTGTTTAGCAGGGGTACTGCTGCATAGGTACCTCTTCCCTTTCCCTACTCACCGCACTGGCCTTGAGTCCATTCCTTCTTCCCTTTAATCCCTATTTCCTATTGGCCCTCTCTCCTTCCCTCTCTCTCTTCGCCTTCTCTCTTTAATTTCTCTCTTTACTTTCACCCTCTTTACTTTCACCCTCTTTACTTTCACCCTCTTTACTTTCACCCTCTTTACCTTATCCTTCTTTACCTTATCCCTCGTTCCCTTATCCTTCCTTAATTTGCCTTATCCGCGTTGTTCAATTGACCTGTCCCACTTCCTCATTCATCCTCGGCAATATTTAAGGTTCTCGTTAGCTTGCACTACCTTATTAAGGTATCCCTGCTTGGACCTGGGGGGATTTCTGATTGTCCAAACTGACGACAAAATGCGAATACCTTGGGACCCGAGGGCACGGTTGAGGGTTCTGTGGTTCTTCTTGGTTTAATACTACCTGGGGATGGCCGGTATGGTTGTGGGATGGGACAGTATTTATGTAGTTGGTTAGTGGCTTCGCTGTTTTCTGACCACTTTTTGTCTCTCCTCTTTTCTCTTTCGAACTTGGACCAAACAACAGAACAAAGGGCGAATATCTCCTTAGCCGCGATAGCCTTGCCATGATTGTCGTCGCCGACGTCATTGTCGCCGCTGCTGACGGTATCGGATCTAGAAACGTCGCCACCGTCGCCAATTTTTATCACAGGTTGCAAAGGTTCAATCAGGAGCGGTTGGAATGGCTTGATATCCCCGTGAACCAACCCTTGGTTCATAAACTACGCCTAAATCAAAGAGATTAGCATTCATTGTGTTTCAGTCAAGACGTCTCCTCCTTGATCGCACTCCAATCAAAAGGAATAATGCTTACATCGTACACACTCACTTACAGTTTTTTATGTCAGCAACAGACAGCCGATGGTCAAGGACCAACGACCCACCTGATTCACCGCGAACTCGGAGAGGCACGCTGAAGAAGGAGTAAGTTTATTTCAACGAGGCCGTGCCTTCAATCGAACCAAGATGACGCGTACAAAAGGTCCTATGGCGTTAGGAAAGAGACCTCGATTTTCGACCACTGCTATTCACAGCGACTCGAAAAACAACCTTAGGCTTATTCCAAAAGCCCATCGCCTGTTCACTCATTACGACCAGCGTGTCCGGTTGATCGGTTGATCTGTTCCTCTTGTCGCATTCAATTATGTTGTTATATTAAAAGTAGCGGTGCTTCTTGTCATACCCTTGAAAGAACAACAGAGAGTAGGAAATACATATATTTTATTATCTATGGAAAGCAACGAAATGCCTTTTGAAAAGTACAAAGAGAGAGAGAAAGAGTCATTTGATGATCAAAGGGACATTGCTATGTCCAGTTTTTCTTGAATGCCGCACTCAATAGCCCAAAAACACACACACACACACATACCTCTCCAGACTGTTATTGTCGCGCGAGAAGACGAAGGTAGGGGCCTCCTGCTCCTACTGCCATCAGTCCTTCCTCCTGCCATCAGCGCCATGTAGCTCACACGATAATAATGCTTCTATTTGACCTTGTTGATACCCGAATGAGTATTAGCAATGGTGAGTGATCACGCCTGGAATGTACTGTTCTTGTCCAATTATCTGCTCGCTCACCAATTATCCTGTCAGTGTCCTTTGTCGTGTTGTTCTGTCCTAGTTCGAGATAGAAAAGAGGAGAGACAAAAAAGTGGTCAGAAAACAGCGAAGCCACTAACCAACTACATAAATGCTCACCTATCCCACAACCATACCGACTATTCCCAGGTAGCGTTAGACCAAGAAGAACCACAGAACCCTCAACCGTACCCTCGAGTCGCAAGACATTCTCATTTTGTCAACAGTTTGGACATTCCGCAATCCCGTCCAGGTCCGAGCAGATTGATGCAAGGATACCTGACTGAGGTAGTGCAAGTTATTGTAAAATCCTTCTGAAGAGGCACATTTAGCAGGTTAAAGGGCCAGCAGTGACTATGCCGCCTTCATCCCCATAGCAGAGCACCAGGAGGCTATACTCGCGATACCCTGAGAAGTAATGAAAGAGATGGAACGCAAGTCATCGAGGGCTGAGACGGTGGTGCTACTCAGACGACCACATCCTGTTGACAGCCGATATGATTGTGACAAAGGAGAACGATTACATCGAAAGTGTACCTTCCTTAATTGCCCCAATGGCTTGTGCACGAGAACCTTAAATCCTGCCGAGTATGAATGAGGAAGCAGTGACCATGATGGTGAATTCGTCGACCGACACTGGTGAATGACTTGACCAGCGCAGGGTGAAGGCAGTCTGAGTGATGCTCCATGGTAGAATGTGGGTCGAGTGGAGATTGAATAGGCGAGTGTTGAAAGAGAGAAGTGAGAGAGGCTAATTGTGCGTGGATAAGGCGTATTGACGAATGTAAGGTGAAGAAGGATGAGGTGAAGAGAGAGAAGGAAGGAGCAGAGGGAAGAGTAGAGGGAAGGCGTTGAGGAAAAGGTACTTCTGCTAAACGGGAAAAACAAATAATGGACGAATAAACAAGATTTTCACTCAAGGTTTACACCTGAAAACCCGAGCATTTGGAGGGAAAGGTGATCCTCAGTCACAGACTCAATGACAGGGGGAGCTGGTATAGAGAGTGCAGTGGAAGGGTTATCCCGAGTCTGAGAACTCGGAATTCCCTAAGCAGAAGCGACATTGTGTTCGAATGATATGAATGATATGCATGAAAAGCTTTAGTTAGGGATAGCTGTTAAACATGACATTGTCTATATAATGGAGTAAAGGGGGGAGAAGGATGTGTTCTAGCACACAAAACAATAACAAACGTGAAAAACAATACAAATAATTACAAAATGAAAGAGACATCCAGGTATCCTGTGCTTGTATCCCGAAGACAACACCCTCCTCTAGAGACCCTTGTTGTAGGTCAAAGACTTGATAGGCTCGCCCTTCGAATCCTTCAAGTTCCAGAACCGCTCCTCGAGCGTCTTGACATCGACATTCGCATACTGAGGGAACGCCGCAATAGCCAAAGGCAGCGCGGTCATCAGACACAACGAAATCACCGCCAAGTTGATAGGAATAACTGCCTTAGGGTACTGCTGCGACCACGCCGTCCGTTCCCATTGCGACAAGACCAAAGGAGGAATGGTCAGTACAGGGAAGTTGGTCAAGATACGCGAGATGGCGACCTGGGTGATGGCGGAGAGTCCAGCCTTTTGGGACTTGCCGACCGAGTTTCCTTCGCTGTCGTAGACGTCGATGCCCTCGCTGATCTCCTTGCCACGCATCAAGAAGACGTTGACGGTTCCTGCGGCTGCGACGGCGGTGAATGGAACCAGGCGGCCCAAGATTGTGCGCAGACCTGGCGAGATGGATGTCATCCTGGGGACCATCTGGTTCAACCCCACGGCCAAAAAGCACGATGTCGTCACTGCCGACATATACGCCACTATTGCATTGACGGGTGGGAAAGCAAAGGTCAATTGATTTGAAAGAGAGAACGATACATAATGACATCCGTTTTCCCAACGACGGCCAAAAGTAAGAAAAAAAAGACATACCGGCAGTCTCCTTCATGTCCATCTCAATAGTTTTGTTGGCGTTGGCGTAATTGAAGGCGACGTTGACGGACTGGTTGGCCCACTGCCAGAACATAATCGACCTGACGGTAGGGTTGGGCATCAACATTCCTGCGGCAACCAGCAAGTTTGTGGGCACAAAGCAGGCCATCCTGAAGGGCAAGAAGATGGGGTTTCCTGTATCTGGATGCAATGTCGAGTCGCATACTGTATTGTCCATTGCGTTGGTTTCCGATGATTGATGTCCGGTGTAGCATATAAGCGCAGTAGAGTAGGTAAAGAGGAGATATAACTGGTTAGAATATGCACTTGTGTAGATCCTTGTCTCGAATATAAATCCTCCCACCTCAGCAAAAACAAAAAATATGAACTCCGGACAATGGGAGAAAAGAAAGGGAAAATGATGTTGCGGAGATAATTGCCAACTGCCCTGTCCTGCTCCTGCAACAAAAAACTTGTTCTCCTATTCCCCCTGTTTTGTCCCACGGACTCTGCGGATTTTTTATTTCTACCCCAGCCAAGACAAGGAGACAAGCCCACACGGAATTTTCTTTGCCCCAATTAAAAACAAAGGGACCTCGAAAAGGAAAAGAAAAAGAAAAAGAGGAAAAAAACCAAAGCGCCCACTTTTTTCGGCCATTGTGCAGACCTTGATTCCCACGCAGCTTATCCCCCGACACTGAACAGTAAAGATCATCCCTCTTGTCCTCCGATTGTCCATCAAAAAGTACCTTCTTTGGCGCGCCAGAGGCGGGTGGAATCAGTATTGGCAGGGATCTTTCCAGAGTTGTAGTCGCTGATCAAGCTCTTGGCATCCTCAAGGCCCTTGCTGGTGACGAACAGGTTCAGAGGCGAGGTGACCTGTACAAAGTGCCTAACACGACCCAAGTATGTCGACTGGTCGAACCTTGGCTTAGCTATTTGGAAGTTCATAGCGGGGAGAGGATAAAGGGTCAGTAAGAGTGGCGTCAGATGGTGCTGTTGGTTGTGTTGATTTTCTTTGTGCCGAAAGGACCTTGTTGTTCATAGTTGAATTAGTCCTGTTTCTTATTTTTTCTTGTCAGTCGGTTGCCGGCTGTGCTTTGTTTTGCTGTGCCGTATGCAAGGGTAAGGGGAAGGGCTTGGAAGGAGAGGAATGACATTGGAGTTTTGTTTCGGGCTTTTTTCATTTCTTCCCTGTCCCTTTGCTCATCCGTGTTTTTCCTTCGTTACTTCCATCATCCAAACTATGGTTCCTTGAGTGGTTGATGGAAGTGTGAGTGTAAAGTGAATGAATGAGGGGAATGAGACTTACAGAGATCGATGCGCTGTTGAGAAGGGGAGGTAGGGATGGTGCCGTAGGAGGGCATTCCTGTAGGGAGTGGTGTCTGTTCCAAGGTAGTCATCGCTGTTGGTATATGTGTATGAGTTGTTCCCTCCTGTGTATTAGTAGTTGCTAGTAGTCGTTGTAGTTGTCGGTCGGTTGAGGATCGGTTGGCTGATGCTGATGAAGAAAGAGAAGAAACAAGGAAAAGAAAAAGAAGAGGCAAAGGAAGGAAGGAAGGAAGAGAGAAAGAGAATAAAGAACCAAAGAAAAAGAAAAAGATGGGGCCAGAACCCAAATCTATTGGTTCCAATCAATGCAACCTTTGATAATTTCTGATGTGTCTGATGGATGTCTGATGGCGATGACTCTTCCCATACCAAAAATAAAAAAAAAGTCATGCATGGCTCTCTAAATCCCTCCTCGCTTCCTTTCGTCTTAAGCTTCCTCTCCACCTTCTCTCTTCGTACAGACAAATTCAGCAACCTTGTCACACCATCTACTCCACACATCTGACACATTCGCCCATTCCTTTCCTAGCTTCCATCCTTGCTTGCTTACTTCCTTCTCTGGACCCTTTTGTCACACCACATCACTCCCTTTTGCTTACCCGCTTGCTTCCTTTTTATTTCCTTTTGTTCCTTTGCCTTTTCTCTTGTCTAGCCCCTCTCTTTTTGCGACCCATCTTCGTTTCATCCCTCACCAAATACTGCCCCTGTCTTTGTTTTTGATGTCTTTGTCCCACTTGTTCAATCACCTCACGCTGTTCTTGACTCAAAAATTCCGAGGAGGCCGCTCTTGGTGGATGAGACACAGCCTACAAGACCATGGCCATGATCCTTCACGCTGTTGCAACTTTGCATATGTGTCATGGTTGCACAATGCCAATAAAAGAAACATGCGAAAAAGAAAGAGAAAAAAAAGAGATGGGGAGGAATGCAACTGAATGTTTGCTTTTGATCCTAAACATCTAGGGGAACACAGAGGAAGCATGTCATGACAGTTGTTGTTGACTATGTTTTTATTTCAATTGTTGAACAAAAAGGTAGGGGGAAGCATGACGGACAATGGAAACAATAGGGAGAAAGTTGTAGCAAAGCGAGGTCATAACTTGCTACTCCAACGGATTCAAACTTGTGCCAACAACAAAGAAAAGAAAAAAAAGGCATCCTTAGCGGACTTGGCACATGCCCATGCTGACAGCAGCAGCCGCTGCAGATGCGTTCTTGTCACCATCCGTCACAGCACCGCCACCATTAGCCGCCTCGGCCGCAGCATCAGCCTGCGAATATGTCTCTGGATGACTCGACCGCCGTGTCCACCGATGCGACAATGCTCGCGAAGGTGTGGTGCTCTGCTCGCTCCAGAGGTGTGTCGCAAACCCATGGTATCCATCCATCAACGAGATCGACGCTCCAGTAGGGTCCTCTGTGCTGTGCGGATCCATCGACAATCGCGGGTAATGGTCGTGCCGCGGTAACGAGTAGGACGAGACGGGGGAATTGGGATCAGAAAAGTAAGACTGGATCGGCGACAGCATCGGTTCGGGCGACATAAACGAGTCCAGTAATGACGGCGACGAAAAGTTCCTGGTGTGTGTATGCCGACCGCCATTGATGCCCGAACTACCGCTGGCTGCTGCTTTGGCGAGAGGATGGTGAGGATGGTATTGGTGCAGGTATCGACCCCGCGTGGAGTCAAAGGTGTCCAGATGTGTGACTGCCGGCCGCATTGTCGCTGCTGTGCTATGCTTGTTGTTGTGGTTGTTGCCTGTTGCCAAGACTTCACCACGCGAGTAATCACGATCCTCATCAAACCCCCTCTCCGACGCCGCATCGTATTCGGTCCCACTGCCCTCGTCGTTCGACATGTCGACAAATGAAATCTCTGGCACCCTCGAGTCCGAGAGGGTATGGCTATCGCTTTCGGCACCTGACAGCGTATCACTCTCCTCTAGATTCGAACTGATCGGAGACGCTGCTGTTGCTTTGGAAGCAGCTGACCGACGAGAGCCAGATCTTATTGTGGTTGTGTGCGAGTTTGACAGACGCTTGCCCTGTGTCCGTGGGCGTTTCCAGTTTGTTGATGTCGATGTTATTGTTGGACTAGTAATATCCTGTTCACTGCCAACAGATCCTGATGTGGAAGAGGAGGACGAGGAAAAAATGGGGGAGGACGAGGTGGACCTTGGGCTGGCAGCTCTTGTTGTTGCGGGAGTGGAGACGGCGGACCGTGTCACCGCTGTGGTGACACGAATAGACGATTGTTGTTGCTGAGCTTGTTTGTGTTGTTTTGGCATGGATGGTGCTGCTTGTGTAGTACGTTTTGGTGCCGCAGAAGGAGATTGTTGATCAGTTACGGACAAAGGTCTTCGCCTGGTGTTGGTGTTCGTGTTCGCTGCTGCTCCTCCTGCTGACTTGTGGCCTGAACTGCGTCGATCAATATTGCTCCCTGGGGCGGCAGTAGCATTGGTGGCAACAGTGAAGGCTCTTGTGGATTTGGTGTCCGATACATTCTCCTCGTCGCTGGAACCGCTTGCGAGGCAGAGAAGAGGGTTATGTTGGTCTCTGCTGCTCTTGTGCTGTTGTTGTTTTGAGGGCGAGTTGGTTGCTTTGGGATGAGAGGCGACCATGGTCTTGGAGTGCATCTTTGTGATTCTGTCCTGTCGTTCTACTTGCATGCTGCTTTTGTTGATGGGTATGTGTGTGTATGGTTGTTGCAGTAGTGAGAGGAGGGTCTGTGAGCTGAACTTGGTGGGGAAAGAAGAAGAGAGAGTGTGGAGAAAGGTTGGGTTTGTAGTCGTTGCTGGCTTGTGGTCGTTGGTAGTGTCGGGGATTGTTGTTCAGTGTTGTGGTTATCAGTTTAAGAAAAACAGAAAAGGACGAAGGAGGGCAAAAGAGGAAGCAGAGAAGAGTGGCAAAGAGAAGGAAGGAAGGAGGGAAGGAAGGAAGGTGTAGAAGAAAAGAAAAGAGCGAGGGAAGGATGGGTCGTAAGGGGAGTGACGATAAATGAGATAAAGCAAAGAAAAGAGTGGATAAGTTGAAAGGAGAGAGGAGTAAAATATAATAAAATAAAGATTAAAAGGCAAAGAAGAAAGAAGCCAATGATGATGGCCTAGAAATAGAAAAATTGTCCAAAAGACAACAGAGGAGAGCGTTTTTCGTTATTTGTCGCTGGTACTAGTCTGGTCTGGCCTGGACATGCAATCGCACTTTCGAGCTGGCAGCTGCGTTACTCTTCGTTTGTTGCGTATGAGAATGGAATGGGTGGTGGTGGGTCACTCTGACTTGTACTGTCTGTGTGAGTGGGTTTGAATGTAGGATACGTGAGTGTGTGTTTGTTACTGTTGGGTCGGGATATGTAGAGTTTTCTGTGGCCGATGTACGGGAACGGGAAGAAAACAAAAAGAAGAGAAAAGGTAGGAGAGAGAGAGTATGTATGTGTGATGGATTGGATGGGATGGGTAAAGGAGTACTGAGAGTGAGAGAGTGTGTTGCAGACTGCAATTGAAGACGAAAGAAAAGAAAGTGAAAATGGTAACAAAGAGGGGGGGAGATAAATGAGGAGGACGAGGAGGAGGACAATGAGGAGAAGACGAAGAAGGAAGAAGAAAGAAGGAGGAGGAGGAGGAGGGGGTGAAAGGGAGGAGGAGAAGGTAGAACTACTCTTGTTTTGTGGGATTGACACACAAAGCAAGCACAAGCACAAGCACAAGGGAAACAAAAAAGGAGGGGTTTGAACAAAAAAAAAAAGTGCTTTGAGTAACAAAGAAAGTAAAGAAAAGGACGGGGATCAAGAAAGCGAACGAGGTGTCACTGACTGACTGGGGATGTGGGATTTAGAAGGGGGGGCGGGATTGTATTTCTTGAGCAGGGGGTTCTAAAAGGAACAGAAGAAGGAAGAAGGCACATAGAGAAGAGACGAAGAAAAAAGAAAGGTGATGGATGCACAATGGGGCGGTGATGGTTGTGGAGTTGATGGGTGATGGAGAGTGGAAATGAGATGCAAAAAGAGAGGGTAAAGAAAAAAGGCCAAAGGGTAAAAGCAAAGGGTGGCAATCAATCGTCAATGCAAATAAAACAAACAACAGACAAAGTACTCTGTTGTTTAGAGTTTGGATCCAATGGGTGACACCATGGGCCATGGGACCACCTATTCGCTCTTTCTTTCTTCGAGCATAGATCGGACTGACTGGCCAGCACACGCAACGAAGAACAGAGATATCTTTTCCACCCTGTTGTTGTTTGAATTCACACATACCACAACAAACATACCTTTCCTTTGCCATCCAATGCCCTATCATGCCATTGGCATCCACTCCATCGACCTCATCGACCCACACACACACCTCACCCTCAAGCCCACAGATCCTATCGAATCTACATTCACAATCCAAGGGAATTGCACGAGAAGAGGGCGCGTGTACTGCACAATTCGCCTTTGTTTACACTTTGCGTTTTTTGTTTACTCTTTGAATTATTCTTAGGTCGACATGGGCGGATGGGGTGAACAATGATGTCTGTTGGTCTACGGCTGTTTATTGTTTCTCTTTGCGTCGCTTTTGCTACTATTTCGTTCAACATTGAAGCACCTTGCTAAGTAGCAGCTTGCTCTACTTTTTTTGAAGATATCGCTCATATGTATATGTTTGCTCAGCTATCCTTCAATGGCTCACTTCTCTCACGTCGAAATTCCAAGTCGAATATGCAAAGAATTAGACATCTACGGCATGGTTCTCTCCAAGCTCCTTTTAGCTGTTTAATGCGGCACTGGCTCTCGTTGTTGTTTTTCTTTCTACTTGAGCATTGTTGGTTAAAATGCCTCGATGGTCCGACTGAACAGACCGACGAACACGACCGACCGATCAGAGACAAAAACGCTCTGCACAGTGGAGCATTCGTACAATACAACATCGTCATTTGGATATTGATCGCTTGACCTAAAACGGGTCAGTCAAGAGGCTAGACCCATACATACCATGACCGACAACATTTCCCTCCCTTTTCTCCCTCGCTCTCTCTCTCTCTCTTTGCCCCCAAAAATAAAGTGCTGTCGGGGGAGTGCGCAGGACTGGCTTGTGTCAGGCATGTAAGACTGATGATGTGACTTGACTAATTACTTTATTTGTGTCTCGATCACTGATCATTGACTTTCGTGTCGATCCTGTGCAAAAGACATCAGTCTTCGCCAAGACGACGACAAATGGTGAAGAGAACAAAAAAAAGGGATGGATAAAGTGGTCAAGAGTGAGTACTGTTGTTGGGGGCAAAGGACAAAAAGCAGCAGAGGGATGATGTTATCTTGTCTGCAACCATGGTTCAAAAATGTGTATGCAGTCGCATATTCGACACACATTTGTGGAGGAACAATCACAAACACTGACACTGCAAGCAACAGCATATCAGCCCAAAACAAAAACAAGAAGGTATTATCAATATGCCCGAACGCCGTGAAAAGAAGGGACAACAAATGGTAGCAGGAAGATTCATCGTCATCATCACCTACCGTCCTCCGATGAACAAACAAAGAGAAAAGAGGAATGTTCAATTGCGCCTGCGATGATGATGATTGTTTGTTTGGTGTTCGCTGTTCAAAAGACAACCCTTTTTTTTTTTGTCGTTGTGTCGTGCGCCATTTGATTTTTCCTTCGATTGCTCTATCTCACTATCACATCCTTCACGGTTTACTACTTCCTCTTTCTCCCATGTTGATCAAGTATGGATAATCCTTTTAAGCCCCTCTTTTTTCTACCCCTTCTTGCTCTCTTCAAAGTTGCGCCGACCCCACTTCCATTTCGCATAAACAAAAAAAACTGAACCCCGCCATTTTTTTTCCAGGAACGAACTGAACACAGCACGATTTCTAGCAATGGGTGGGATACTAAAAAACAACTCGAGTGTAACAAGGTTCAATAATGGGCGCTGATTACCCTAGCTGCACTTCGCTCTCCCACTTCCGCAACTTTCTCACCCATCTCGGCCCTCTCGCCTTGTTGACTTTCCTCCCCTCTTTTTTGTTTCTTTGTCTCTTTGTGCCTTTGCGTTCGTAGGCAGAAAGGTAAATTGCATTATCGAACGACCTACCGTAGTCTCATGATTGGTGAAGCTGCTGGCGACTGGTTGGCTAGAGAAAAACGGCGATGACGATGAAGGAAAGGGTGACAGAGTCTACTATGGTCTTTGAATGTTTCGCCTCTTTGTTTCCAAGACATACCTTATTTTTTGTTGTTTTCTTAGCTGTTGGTCTGTCTCTGTCTAGCATGGATGTTATGCTCTTTTGTTAAGTATTTTTGTCGTCATCCAACAGCAACATCGACAGCAACATCATACATACGCGCCAACCTCTTTGAGATTTTTTGTCCGCCGTTTGTGTGTGTTTGTGAGAGAGAGGAAGAGAGCTGCTCATGCATACGGCTCTGATAGCAGGCGCGGAAAATAAAGACACAATGAAATAGGGAAGAGGACGGGAATGGGGGATACGAGCACATTGGTACCAGGATGGAAAAAAAGGGTTGGCCCGAACTGGTTTTTGTTAAAAGAAAGTTTATCGTTTTTGTGCGTACGCTGACACCCGACAAACCCAGTTTCATGCTTGTTGGTGAACGGAGAAATAGCGAGACACTACGACTTGTAGCCTTTGTGCCCTTTTTTTGAATGAGTTAAAAGAGGCAGTGGAATCTATGAGGCCCAGAAGACTTCGTCAGGTTAGAGAACATGCAAGACGAGGTGAGAAAAAATCGGAAGCAGAAAAAGGCAATGGTCGAATGAGGATCTGAATGGTGAAAAAGCATGCACAAGCCATTACTGCAAACTACGAAACAAATGGAGGAAAAGGCAATTTACAAACAATAAGGCAATGAACAGAAAAGGCATGGAAAAGCTGCCTCTGTGATGACCTTTTTTTTGCCTAGGAATCGCGACATTTGTTCTTATGCAAAAGTATCGGCATCAATGGGTAACACGGGATCGGGGGGAATGGCACAATTATGTGTCTTTGTATGTCTTTGTTCTCAGTAGAAAACACAGGAGAGAAGCTTGACGGATCGAAAACTAGGAGTGAAGGAGAGAGAGTGCAAGGGGAGGGAAGAGTGGAAGGAGACCATGCCCGCCTGTCATGCCCGTGTGTCCGTGTGTCCTTATTGTCTCCTGCCCGAGGAAACAGTAACGACTGAGAAAAGGAGACAGGTCGTTGAAAGTTTCTGTCTGTCGTTCTCTTCTCTGCACTATCAATCGCCATATGTCCAAGTCCCTCCTCTCTTCTCCTCTTTTCTCTCTCTCCTTTACGCTGTCTCACACACGGCCCGTCCAATATTCACCCCCGTCTCCTCCCTTCCCTTCTTCCTCGCAAAAGCACATCGTCGTCCTTTCCATACTCATCCTATGGCATAAATCACAGGTACCCCATGTCCAAATTGGCATTAATGCCCCATGCCCCATATCACATCTCCCTCCAATGTGACAATTTCCTTCTCTTTTTCTCTCCGTATTCTTCTTTCACACTCTTCCACTCCTTCTTTCCACCCTTGCTTCCTCACCTCTCATGTCCATGGCTCATGCCCCATGCCCATGCCAGAGCTTATGCGGATCCCAATCCATCCTAAAAAAAATTTTACTCCCTTCCTTCTCATGCCCCAGGTTTAAGCCCACATCCCCATTTTGTTATTGTTCGTTGCTGTCCAATCTTTGATCACGGATCTTCAAACAAAAAAAATAGATGCATGAATTTTCTTCGCCTTTTCTTTCTTTGTGTACCTATTCCAGCATAAGAACAGGTTGGCCATGGCGCACAATGCAAAGTGTCGGTCTCGGTCCCCACCCATATCCAAACCCCGAAGATGTCGCAATGAGGAGATACAAAAAGTAAGAAGGCTCTGGAGGGTAGGTGGGAACGGGGTCGGTGGGTCTGGTGATCCGATGTCGTGGTCAGTCAGTCAGTGGATCCAAGACAAGTACAGGACAGTACTGTACAAAACATACAAAGTACGAGAGAGATACCAAGAATAGCAGCAAGGCCTAGACGTTCATACGTTTCCTTGTGAAGGAAAAGGCATTGGCGGCAAGCCTGAGGGCGGCAAGCCTGAGGGCGGCAGAGAATCAAGGGCAAAGGGGGTTGAATGCGATTTTGATATGCATCTCATGGGTATGGAGGGATGCATGATAGGGCTGGAAGATGGAAATCATGGCCGGTCTACGTCCGTGCTTCTGCAAGGTCAGGTCAGGCCACTGATTTTGTTCGATGCGAGGGGTTAGGCTTGCTTCTTCCTGCATCTACCTTCCTGAGGAATGGAGAATAGAAAGCCATAGCAGAGCAGAGTAGTGTTGCGTCTTAGAAGAGAAAGAGATTGCGCGTTCCTTTAGCCCTCTATTTCAAAGATCATCAAACACCCGTGGTGCTTTATGCGCTAATAATGAGCCGCCTCTCGGATCAATTGAACCCATGGTCCTGCTCTATCTCTCCGTTGCCAATGTGTCGCTCTCCTACTCTCTCCTTCCGGTCTTTTGCTTCCTTCCGTTCCATGGTTTCCAAAACAGGACTCACTTACACTCACTGTCCCCACCCCCTTCCTTTTCCCTCCTTTCTTTTTCGCTGCTTTTTTCTCCCCTTTCCTCGGTTGTTTTACTAGTACTGTACTTTGTTCATGCAAACCTTAGCGCGCAACACAAAGAACAACATACGATCAGATAAAAAGTCAGCGACGGATATCACGGACCCCCTAGTCCTCGCTTGTCGTGTCTCTGCTTCCCTACTATTTTGTTTCTTCACATCCTTCCCGCACTTTCTTTTCCCTTCCCTTCCCTTACGCTTCCCTCCTTTTTTCCTTTGGCCCTCCCTTTGTTTGCTTCCTTCCTCCGCTTCTGTCTCTCTATCCCTTCCTCCCTTCGGATTCTATTAGCTGTACGTTTTTTTTTTTTTTTTTTTCGCTTCATCAACCCTCCCTTTTCAAAAGATTGATCCTTGCATCCCCTATCTCTCTCTCCGTTACTGCACTTGAGTTTTCTGTCCGCGTCATATCTCGCATACCTTCCACCTATCTCTATCGCTACTAACACTCACTCATCGTAACTCCTTAACCCCTTCCATTCCTTCTTATCATGTGCAAACCGCAGCGAGTTCTCAACAATTGATATTTTTGACAAGCTGTAGGTTGAATGCACTAGAATCTGTATTTTTGGAGGTTGGGGGGGGGGGGGGGGAGGGAGGGAGTACTGAAAGAACATAGTAATGATAAAGTAGTAATAAACGAGTAGATAATAGTAATAAATGGTGTTTTTGTGGTGTCTCTTGTAAACTGTTGTTGGCGATGGTTATGTTAACTGCTATCGCTTGCTACTTGCTCCAGATTAGAAGCCAACAGTTTTTGTTCCATTATTCCTGCTACCGCGAAAAAAAACCCCCAGCATCTATTTGGCGTTCTCGCCCTCCCACCAGCGGTTAATGGAGCTGGCATCGCTCATCATGGTATCACGGACGGGGGTCGCCATCCGGTCGCCGGGGGCATTTCCACTGGCAAGGGGACTACTGGTCATGTGGTTCATTGCTGGAATGATCACTGTGCTATCCCGAATCGAAGAGTTACGCCGAGGCAGGTGAACGGGCGACGATGACCGAGAGGGCAACGAAGACCGGGGTGAATTCCGTCCAGAGGGTGACCGTCTACCTTCATCCTCCTCCCTCAATGTCATGGGAGTCATCGAGTGCATGTTGACGTCATCAAAGTCGTCCTCCAGTGCGCTCTCGTCCACAAACATCACACAGACTACAGGGAAGGCGCCTTCGTTCGAAGTGTTCATGTTGACTCCGACTGCCCAACCGTCATCAAACACCCGCTGCACGTTCACAATATCGCCGGGTGTCAGGTCCAGCTCGTCCGCCATCGAGGCTTGGTAAGGGTACAGGGCCTGGCAGTACGATTGCTTTCCTGTGGCCTCCCGTCCGCTATCTGATCCTGCTGCTGCTCCCATGGCTCCTCCCAAGACGGCTCCTCCTCCTGCGGCGGCAACAGCAGCTCCCAGCGATGATCGATCCGAGGCTCCAGACGAGATCAAATTGTTCATGGGGATGGGTTGAGATGAAGCCATAGCTGCGAATCCTTGCTCCTGAACCTTGGGTGCTGAGATGTTGTAGCGACCGCTTGAGTTGGACATTTGACGGGACAAGTTGTTGCCCTTCTTGCCTCCTGAATGCGTTCTGGACCGACGAATGCACAAAAAGATGATGAGACCAGCGAGCACAAGAGCACCAACCGATCCTCCAATGATAGCTCCCAGAGTACTTGATGACATTCCAGTAGATGTAGGCGTTGCTGTTGGGGTGGCCTGGTTGGTGGGTGGGCTGATGAACGAGGTCGATGTTTCTGTGGTAGTAGGTTTAGTACAGACCGTTCCAGCGTTACTACAGCAAGTATCCGTTGAGTTGGTGTTGCAGTAAGCACACTTGTCCTGCAAATTAGCCAAGCCTAGAATGTCACATCAAAATGAGCAGTTTGTTAGATGGCTTTGAGGTTTTTTATGTGAGCACAAACAAAGCTGGCTGGCCATGTGGATCTTTGTTGGTGTCCTATGTGAGCGCCCATCTTTCCTGTTGTTGTTGTAGTCATCGATACTCGTTTCAGCACAAACTCTCGGTTTGCCTCCAGTTTACCTCCGCCTCGCACAGAGAGACACAAGGAATGAGAGCGCCCAAAAGAAAATGAATCACAACGAAATGATATCTGTCGCCTCAACCGCTTTCCTCTGCCTCCTTCGAGGCTCTGTGTGTTTTCCTCTGTCGCCTCTATTACTCCTTCTTCCCCCTCCTTGCCTTCACAACCAACCCCTTGGCCAACAACAAGCTCTGTTTTGATCCCTTTCATTCATTTCAGATACCCCTCGTCTCTTTGGACGTCAATGAACGTCACCCTCATTAATATCTCATTTTCCAAACATCAGAAATTTCAGGCACCACCGTCCATCGCTAATAATACTAATAAAATAACATGATCACAATAACGACGCTGCAAAAACCACCGCTCCTCGGCACGACGCACCCCCACCCACTAAATAACTCATCCACCATAATAACACCAGATAAAGAAAAGAAATAAGGGGAACATGGAAAGAGAGGGGGTGGGGGTCGACTCGACTCGAGGAGGCACACAAAGGAACATGCGGGGTGAGGCAAAGAGTGAGACGCACTTGGTCAATGTGTCGCTGTTTTGTTTTGTTTCTTTTTTTCCTTCCTTCGCCATCCATTGTGTTGTACTTTTCACTCGTGGTAGTGGTCGTGAGGAGGTCAAAAGAGGTAGGGCAAGTGGGCGTACAAGTACAATCGACCATGAGAAACATTAAAATATAAAAAAAGGAACGCAAAATAGTGGGTTTGGGGAATGTGTGCCTTTCTAGACACACCCAGCCTCTTTGTCTCCTATACCAGACACACTTTTTTTTTATCTTGTCGTCATACTTGGTGTAATGTATCACACTCCCGGACCATGACACTTACCACAGAAGGCGACCTCGTTCACAGCCGAGCTGATGCAGTCGGCAGCGGTGCTCTGAAGTGCAGCCCAGCTATCTGGGGAGCTGCCATCGCAAATAGTTTTCAGAGCGTTAAGGTTGCCAGTTTCCCAAGCGGCATTGTTGGGGCAGAGCTGATTTGCCTGCGATTCGAGTCCTTTCTCGAACGTCAGGCAAGAAGTGATACACAACGCAGTGTTGATGGGGTCCTTGACGTTCGCGTTGCAGCTGGTCGATTCCGGGTCGTTGGCAGCAATTGCGCAGAGGACTGTATTCTGATAAGGAATCCGGACAGTTGAGTTGTAGGTCGGGCAGGCCGAGTCTGGCTGGAATGCTGTGGCGTTGTTGATGACATTGTCGAACTCGGCCTGGGTGGCAAAGGGCTGGAGGATAATGCCGTAGTCCTTGAAACGTGTGATCATGGTGTCATTGCCGATACTGAAGGAGGAAAAGGAGGGGCAGGCGACAGAGTTGGCGAGGGAGACACAGCCGGCCTGGGCTCCGGCTGCGAGGAGGGTGGCCGAGAACAGGGTCGTTGCCAGCCATCTCGAGCGGTGGCGAGTATATGGTTGATGAGGGGAGCGGGTCATTGGTCGGATATGAATAGTGTCAAGAGAAGGAAAGAAGGAAGGAAAGTGGTGGTGGGTACTGGGTAGTCGTGAAGAGGTATCTGATCTTGAAAAAGAAGGGCCGTCTGTCCGTTTTGATGATAATGTCCTTGACTGGATGCAATTGGACGTTTGATGTTGTTGTTTGTTGGTTTTTGGCGGGGAAAAGCAATTGTAGTTGTGGTGTGTTCAAGACAAACAACGAGCACAAAGACAGTAGTAGGAAATAAGAACAACGAAAACGTGGAAGGTGAACAGGGCTGCTCACAGTTCTAGTTCAGAAAAGAAGAGGTGTTGGTCAAATGAGTGCAATTGCTTTTTGGTTCTATTGGATCGGCAATCGGGAGTGTATGTGCGTGATGAACAGACAGAAAAAGAGAAAAGATGTTGGCAGGACAGGGAAAGGAGTGTTCGAGGGGTGGAATGTCGTTTGAGGAATGATTGAAGAAAAAACGAGTGTGAGAGAAAAAGAAAGAAAGAAAGATGGAAGGGGGGTTGTGGTGGTTAATATGAACAAGAGCAGGAAAAAAGGGTTAGATGAATATGAACAAGGGGGTGTTGTCGAGTGAGTCTGCAAGTGGGAAGGGAAGGAGAAGGAGGAGTGATAACCCACAGGAGACAGGACGTACGTTGTTGGTTGATATTCAGGAACAGAAGCAGTCGGCAATGACAGAGTATCAGAGAGTTTACAAAGGGATGCTGATAGGAAGATAGAAAGATAGAAGGAGGATGGAACAAAAGGAAGGGGGGATCGTGGCCACTGTCGAGAATGCAAGAGGAGGGGATTGGAAAAGAAAGGAAAGGGGAGGGTAAATAAGCAAGAAGAAAGAGGCGGGAAATTATGATATGTAAAAAGGATCAATAGTCGACAGAGAAAACAATAGGGTCGTATGTGAATGAGATAGAAGAAATGAAGAAGGAGGTGGAGTGGAGTGACGAAGGACGAGGAAGGAAGGGGTAGGGAAGGAAGGGGTAGGACACGAGTGTAAAGAAGAAAGAAGTAGAAAGAAAAGGAAGAAAAGAACAAAGAAAGGGACGGAAGGTGGAAGATAACATAAAACAACAAAAACTTTGTTCCCAACCACCCGGACCTGAAATAATGACTTGCCTGACCTGAATGACCTCCCTGACAAGTTGCCTATCAATGATCGTCTTTTTATTTCATTTCATTACTGAAATAAGTAGTTCTTTCTTTTCTGTTCGGCGCCTTTTACTGCTTGCGCCAAGTACAGAGGGTATCATCATCGTCATAATCCATCGTTCTTTTCTTCCTTTTCTCTTTTTTCCTTTGCTTTTTTTCACTTATTTCTTTCTTAGTTTCTTTCTTTATCTCCTTTCCAATGTCCATCTGTCTGCTGTAATGCCAGCCCATAGAATGAAATTTTTTAGTGCTCTCACCTTTGACAGGTTCTTTCTTTTCTGACCCATCCAGATTGAACTCAATCCATATGGATGAGTCTCCCTCGCTATCGACGCCCTTCTGGATTGTGCGACCTTCAATATATTAACAACATACAACTCAGTCAGCAACAACATCAACACATACAAGCACAAGCACAAGCAAAGGCATAAGGTTATTCGACAAGCTAATTACAAAGCGATAAACAGACAGTGGCGACAATGCCTCTGCCCCACACACTACCCTTCACATCAAAGAAAGGGACCCTTGCTGGAAAAATGGACGAAAGGAAGAACGTCTTTTGGTGGCAACCGGATAATTCGTTCAATTTGTCGTTCAAGGAATATCATCCACCCTGTTCAACACCAAAGCCCTCCACGACTCATTCTCTACTTTCAGCCTAATATTATTTTAACGGCGGTTGTTGTTTTCTTCTCTTCGTCTTCCGCCTCTGTTGCCAAGCGGGTCAATTAATCGGATGGTTGCACAAAAAACAAGCGAGAAATAGAAAGAGTCGGATGGGGGTAAAAGTTGCCTGTCTCTGGTCCATAGTGTCAAACACGTCTCTGTCTTTTGTGTCTGGGTCGGGGAACCGACTTCAATTGCAAGAGGGTACGCATGCGTACACACGCACGCTCCGATGGGCCGACTGACTACATTGGCCCAAACAACCAGGCCAATGCATAAGCAATTGCATGAGGATATCCAGCTCAAGGTACCCGGCCGCCTTCCTCTCCCATTCACTTTATTAGCATTGCAAGTAAGCATGAATAACAATTTCGGCAACAAAAAATATTTTAGGTGACGACAAAACAGGGCTTTGTTAATTAGCTATCGCGGTACTCTTTGACTTCGTACCGTGGCTCGGTCACCCCTTTTTTTCTCGCTCAGTTTTGTCACTCCCTCCATTTTTTTTGCCATTTCCCAACAGCCATTGGACCGCAATTAGTGCGAATACTTGCGAAACAAGGTTTCATTGCAATATCGTATGTCGCGAACTTCCACTCTTTTTCTTGTCTGGGGGTTTTTGGTACCCTCGCTCGGCGGGGACATAAAGAAGGGGGACTCACCCCTTCTTGTCATCATCGTACAGTACTGTACTGTACTCCATGTTGTGGGCACTGAACAAGACCATATCAAGGCGCAAGACAGGCATAGGAAAAGGAGGGCTCTCCAACGAACAAGGTTTCCTTTCAAGCAGAGCATGGAGAACAAATGTCTTCCTCTCTTTTACCTTTCTCCCCAATCAGGGCGCGACAAGATAGAAGAGCCTCGGACACTTGGGCGAATGGAGGAATGGAGGAATGGAGAGGAGAGTAGGTCGGATAAAAAAGAGTTTCGACAGGGTTCAAACAAGAGTAAGAACACTGGGACCAGACTAGTAAAGAGCAGCTCGCTTTCCCGGTCTTTCCCCCCCACTCCCGCCCAGAGTATCTAAACCGTCTTTTACCCCTCGTGTCTGAGATGACTGGCGCAAGAAAAAAAAATACCCTTCCCCCTCTCTCCCATCTTTTTTCCATGCGAGAATGAGCTAGCGTGGACAATGCAGATAAATAGGGGTCTTCGGTACCTGCCTCGTTTTGTTCCTGCAAGATGGCGTAGTAATGGCCAAGGGTCAATTGCATCGTTGCATGGCGGAACAGGCATCGTTACCGCGTGTGAACCAAAGTGTTCATGCAAATCCTGCAATTGTTTCTTTCTTTTTTGGTATCCCTTTTTCTCGTGGGAGGAATCGATTTGCAACCCGCCATTCCATTGAGCGGGAAAGAACTGGCTGACTGTCTGTATCGAGACCGCCACCAATTGTTGACACTCTGTTCCTACGCCTTATTGTTCTATTATGTCATAGTGCATTGCACTCGTTCATTTCCACCCCACATCATACAGTGTTTCTTTGTCGCTTCTTTTTCTCTCTTCACATATCTCTTTCTTGGTGCTCGGTCTTTTTACTGTAGTTCTCATTCTTCTCATTCTCCATCTCCATTTGTTTTGCTGTCCTTTGTTGCACCACCAAGTGTGAATCATCTCACTTCCATTAATAGACAACGACCGGTTACCTTTTCGTATTGCGTTATTGACCCATTTTTTATTCTTTGTCGTTTCACAGAAGAGAGGGCTTCCCATCTTTTCTCCACCTTCATTGTTATGATCATTTAAATAGCACAGCCGTACGGAAATGCACTTGACCGTACCCACCTTTAAAAAGCGAACAAATAAAGAACAGATACGATCGATTAAGAACCGACCAATTCCATGCCTCGCTCAACGCTGATAGCTGCTTTAGGTCGAGTTGGTCGTTTGATTGAAGAACGTATAGAAAGATGGGATAGCAGATGGACTTCGCGCCCTTGCATATGGTGGTATTGCTGTAGCAGCTGTCAGCTCAGGAATGAGAACTCAATTGTCGACCACTGCTATTGACAGCGACTCGAAAACGGTCTGACGGGTATTTCAAAACACCATCGCCTGCTCACCTATTAAGACCAGTATATCTGTTTGATCTGTTCTTCAAATATCTTGCTAGATGAAAAGTAGCGGTGCTTCTTGTCATACCCTTTGAAAGAACAGCATATTGAAGCAGATACATATATTTTATTATCTATGGAAAACACTGATATTATTTCGCCTGAAAAGTACAAAGAGAGGGAGATAGAGACATTTGATTTTCAAAGACACTTTCCTACGTCCAGCTATCCTTGAATGCCGCCCTTGATAGCAAAAAACACACACATATACCTCTCTAGATTGTTATTGTCGCGCGAGAAGACGAAGGCAGGGGTCTTCCGTCCTTATTGCTTTGTTACCATGAGCTCTTCCTCTTGCCATTAATCTTTCCACTCGCCATTAATCTTTCCACTCGCCATTAATCTTTCCTCTTGCCATTAGTCCTACCTCTTACCATCTACACCATGTAGCCCACCCGATAATAACGCTTCTATTTGGCCTTGTTGATACCTGACTGATCACGTCGAGAATATACAGATTTTGCTCATGTTCCTGCTCGCTCGCCAATTGTCCTGTCAGTGTCCTTTGTCCTGTTGTGCGACCCTAGTTCGAGTGAGAAAAAATAAATAAAAGGAGAGTGGTCAGAAAACAGCGAAGCCACTAACCAACTACATAAATACTCTCTTACCCCACAACCATATCGACCACTCCCAGGTAGTGTTAGACCAAGAAGAACCACAGAACCCTCAACCGTACCCTCGGGTCGCAAGACATTCTCATTTTGTCAACAGTTTGGGTATTCAGCAATCCCCGCCAGGTCCAAGCAGATTGATGCAGGGATACTGAGTAAAGTAGTGCAATTAAATGTAAAATCCTTCTGAAGAGGCACATTCAGCAGGTTAAAGAACCAGCAGTGACTATGCCGCCTTCATTCCCATAACAGAGCACCAGGAGGCTATACTCGCGATACCCTGAGAAGCAATGAAAGAGATGGAATGCAAGTCATCGAGGGCTGAGACGGTGGTGCTACTCAGACGACCACATCCTGTTGACGGCCGATATGATTGTGACAATGGAGAACAATTACATCGAAAGTGTACCTTCCTTAAATCCTGCCGAGTATGAAAGAAGCGGTGAT